TGGCTTTTTGCTTTCATAAAGAGTAGTTGTAACATGGATAGGAATGAAATAACACAATAACTAGCTAAAATATCATTTCAATATGAGTCTATTTCTTGTTCAACATTTATACATTTTATCAGAAGGGGTTTTGTGTAGATTTTAGAAGTTTCACTCATTGAAATCATGAGCAAATTGAAGCTATACCACCATGGAAAACTTGGAAGCACTGGACGGCCGTTTCGTCCTAGTATGGGACTCCTCAGAAGTTCGCATCCCCGATCCCGCCATGTGAGATTCTAACTCAGGACCTATTAGTCTCACGCCGGGCGCTTAACCAACTAGACTACTAAGCCGGCCGGCATTCAACGGTGTCAATGTCTTACTTCAACCAATCCACCAAGTTGCGCCAACTGACTCATGATCTCAATCAGTGAAATTTACAGATTTAACCAGTTATTAGCACTGTACACTTGAATACTTAATTGAATTCTTGACAAATGTAAAATGTTGTTCTGTTCTTCTGTTAATGGAATGATTGAAAATGTTCTTTCTGTTTTGATCACTACATTATGTGTAGTCTACTATCTCTATCTCGGATTCCTCTGTGTGGAATACAATAGTCGATTACACTTTGTAATTATTTCCTAATTTTACTGTCTAAGGCGAAGTTGGGTCATAAAGAAAGATATTAGAGTATAACTTAATATTTAGTTCAATTGAGTGATAATAAAAGCCTCATATAGAAAATTAATAATTCTCATTTATGTAAGAAATGTCATGACTAGAAATGTTGTAGATAACATTTACCTGAAGTAGGTAGTAAAATGTCTATTAATTTAGCACAAATAATTTACCTACTTAATTAGTAGTTAGTAGTTAACGTCATAAAGGAGGAACAAGAAGGCAGCAATCAATACCAGCCGAACAAGAGCAGAAAAAGCAAAGGTACACGCTGAATACACACAACTAAACAAGCAAGTGAAGAGGAGCACCGGAACCGACAAGCAAAAATATGTGGAAGATTTAGTAATGTCGACGGAAGACGCTGCAAGAGAAGGGAACGTGAGACAATTGTATGATACAATAAAGATATTCTGGATATTGTCGTAAACCAGGACGACCAGTGAAAAGCAAAGAAGGCAAAGTAATCACCAACATTGAAGAACAGCGAAACAGGTAGGTAGAACACTGCAAAGAAATCTTGAATAGACCAGCCCCACTGAACCCACCCGATATCTAAGCAGCACCCACGGACCTCCCAATCGATTTTGGCCCACCAACAATTGGGGAGATCAGCATAGCCATCAGACAAATCAAAAGCGGAAAAGCAGCAAGACCAGACAACAGTCCGGCAGAAACACCGAAAGCAGACGTAGCGGTAACTGCGAAAATACTCCACATTCTCTTCAATAAGATTTGGGATGAGGAACAAGTACCAAAAGACTGGAAAGAAGGACTTCTGGTCAAAATACCAAAGAAGGCGATCTCAGCAACTGTGATAACTACAAGGGCATCACTCTTCTCTCAATACCGGGAAAAGTATTCGACAGGGTATTGTTAAACAGAGTGAAGGACTCCGTAGATGCCCAACTTCGAGACCAACAGGCTGAATTTCGTAAGGATAGATCGTGTACGAACATATCGCAACACTACGGATCACTGTGGAACAATCAATTGAATGGAATTCATCACTTTACATCGACTCCATTGACTACGAGAAAGCATTTGATAGCGTGAACGGAAAAACACTATAAAGCTTCCTCGACACTACAGCATACCTGAGAAGATAGTCTTACGGATTAGACCACAAAATTGTGTATGGAGGACAGTTCACAGACTCATTCGAAGAAAAGACCGGTGTCAGGCAAGGTTGCTACTCTCACCCTTTATCACTCTCCTGATGATCGACCAGACCATGAAAACGTCAACATCTAGGTGAGGGAAAGCATGGGATACAGTCGACTGCTAAGATGCAGCTGGACGATATAGAGTTCGCAGATGATCTGGTTCTTCTATCACACACGCAACAACAAATGAAGGAGAACATGAAAAGTGTAGCAGCAGCCTCAGCAGCAGTAAGTCTCAACATACACGAAGGGTAAAGCAAGATTCTCCAATACATCACAGCATGAACCAATCAAATCGCACTTGATAGAGAAGCTTTGGAAGATGTAAAATCTTTCAAAAGCACTAACTTAGAATCCTGAATGAAAGCGGAAAAGAGGGTTGCCAAAGAACGCATTACGTTAGGAAATAGAAGTAGATATGAGAAGGATGAAAAAACTGGAAATAGCTGTAAACGATTGCCCATGACAGAGTTGGATGGTGAGTGCTTGTGGGCGGCCTATGCTGCTCGACGAGGGGTAACAGGTGTAAGTACTGATATTATAGTAGTAAATTGATTAACTTACAAATACTTGAATAGACAATACAAATAGCTCGATCAATAATAAGTTCACTGACCATTTATAGTAACTCCCATGACCCGTACATTTAAATAGTTGAAAATATACCGTTTGGCGTTACGTTCCTGTGTTAGACAACCAATTAAACATTAAAGGGACTTGATAGACGTTTCTTCTTAGTATGGAACTACTCATTAGATTATATCCACGAACCTTCCACTGAGAATGAAATTTACAACCGTCGGTTTCTCACGCGAACGCCTAACCTGTAGACCACTAGGCAAGGATCTAATAGTGTATAAATCTAGTATTAATCAATCAAAGATATTGCACTACCATTTACTATTGTCTTTGGTGGATACTTAAAACAGTTTGTGATATACGCGATAATTAACAGTCTCCACAGCTAGAATAATCACAATTATGGTATGGTCACTAGCGGCTGGCTTTTATGAGAAATTTCTGGAGTTTTAGATAGAAACCGTGATCAATGGTGTTAGATGTGAAAGAAGTACTCAATAAATGTAACGAATGACGGTTATGCAATATTGCCGATTGGCTGAAACCAGTTCGACCGTCAGTGGAGAGGCCGTTTATTTATTATTTATTTGAACACATAAATATTGGTACAAAGGAGCACCGAATACATATGTTCCACACTGAGTCACTTGATTTGTGTGTAGGCTGTGATACTGCCTGAACACACAAACCGTAGAAAGTGGTTTTCTTAGGGGGCTACACTTGGAGCCTTCATCCTGAAGGTATGATCGACAAGGCAGTAGAGCAACGTCAGGAGATGCAGTCACATGGTGGCCGGTGACCAACGATTGGTTCATAACCCATTTGTTCCATCAGGATCCTTGAGCTTATGTGCACCATCGGTTTTGAATCAGAGTTTTCTAACTTCTCTAGGTGGACTGTCCGTGTCCACCAACCCGGGTAAAGCACTGGCTTTTCGCTTTTTGTCCCCTCACTTTCATAAACAACACCCCAGTGGTGAGAAGACAGTGAAAAGGACTGCCTTAGCAGTGATTGTAGGCATGCGTATACATGTGATAGCATTTCGAGCAAAATTTCTGCCTCTGATAAGAAAGTCCTACTCACTGCCTGGAGTGATGTTTATGAAATTGAGAGGATGAAAAGCGGATATCCGATGCTTTAACCAGGTTGGTGGATATGGAGTTATCACCAAGGGAAGTTGGAAAACCCTCATTCCAAACAAATGGTACACATTAGCTCCAGGATCCTGATGGAGCAAATGGCGTATTAACGAATTGTTGGTCACTGGGTACCATGGAACTGCATCTCCACAAGTTGCTCCATTGACTTAAACCTGAAGGTGCATCCACTTTTTGTGTCCTCCCGAATTCTAATCTTGGGAACTCTTCTTTTTGAATCCTCCTTGTCTCTTTTCTTCTCTTTCCAAATTTATTTCAGTGGATTATACTCATTGAATAACATCTTCAATCCTTCATCTTTCCGATTACTGCTTATACTTTAACTACTTCTACAACTATGGGATTTGAATAGACAATTGTATGTGTGTGCTAATGTAGTATGGCAACTCGAACTGATGTACGTACGTACATACGAAATTCTACGTTGTTGCTGACTGACTGACTATTGTAAAACATCATTAACATACTGTTAAGCTGAAGTGAAAAACAATATCAGTAGAAGATTGTAGAGATTGTTGAGTTTAGATTGATATCATGTATAGAACAATGTTAAACCACCATTGAAAACTAAAAAGCACTAGACGGCTATTTCATCCTAGTATGGAACTACTCAATGGATGATCCCATACCAAAGGACTCGGACTCAGGACTTTCACAGTGTCACGAGCAAACGCTTAACCTTCACCATTATCTTCAATGACTAACTACTTCGTAAGCCAAACTGAAACTCTTTAGGTTTAAATCTCACGAAGTAGGATCTTGATTGTGTTAGGGATGCAGAGGAATATACCAATAATTATCGTGTTAAGTCGGATGGTATCCTTGGACGTTAAATGTACACTCCCTATTGGTCGATATTTGTTTCACTTGGTAAATATTGTCTGAATGTTGTTTTCTATTTCATGGTACGATGTGGTTTGTTTGTTTGGTATATAAACAGAGTATGTCTGAAATACAATGATTCATATCTCAGAGGCTGTGACTTGCGTTCTGGACTCAACTGGCTGGGCTAGACAGGAAAGCAGGGCCAATTGGGACTCTAAGTCGTTCATTACGTGTTTACGTATCACTGAGTCGATCGATATAAACGCTGCTTATCAAAACCTGCAGTCACACGTTACAACAGATTGAACATTGTTGAGGAGTCCTATACTAGAACGAAACAATCATTTTGTACTTTGAATTATCAATGATGATCTAACACATTCAATCTAAACTGTAACTAAATACATTTTCACTCATTTGCAATAAGAAGATTCATTTGTTAATAACAAAACATACTGTATTATATGCATATTAAAAAGTGAAATCTAAATGCTTGACATACAAAAAAATCATAAAAATAAAGTGTACTTTTAACCCTCCCCCTTCCCCCCCACAAAATAGAATATGTATTATTACATAACTATACTTGAAACATAAATAGACCTAACATTTATACTCTACTTAATAAACTACTTATATATGTATGTTGATTACTTTGATTATTCTTATTATCATTAGTATTATTAGTAGTATAAGTAGTAGTAGTAGTAGTAGTAGTAGTATCAATATTGATTAATGGATTATAGAAATTCTCTTCTGTAAATGAACTAGTTTGAGATTGTGGTAATTTTACAAATGTTATAAATGGTGAATTACAAGTTGTTATAAATGAATTATGTAATAAAGGAGGAATAGTATGATTATTAGTTGTTATACTATTACAATCATAATCATCATGATCATGATAGATCTCATTTGATTGACATATACATGAAGAATCTAATGGATTATTATTATTATTATTATTCATCCTCATGGTCGTCGCCGACGTCGACGTTGTCATCATCATCATCGTCATAGGATCAATAATATAATCTATATGATTTGGATATGATTCCATAGATTGTTGTTGTTGTTGTAGTTGTAGTTGCCGTGGTGATTGTTGTTGCCTTGGTGATTGTTGTTCAATAGGTAATTCATATTGTAATGATTGTTTACAATGAAATGTTTGTAAATAATTCTGTTTTGTAGTTGTAATTAATTTTTTTGTAAATTTATGTTTTAACCAATAAATCAATAAACTGATACTACTTATTAAACTAATCAATAAAAATAAACAACATAATATAATTACAGTAATTAAATATTGATTATGTTTTGATAATAATCTCCATTGATTATTGATAATTGATGTTTGATTATTGATTAAAGGGATATGAATTATTTTTGAACTACTTACAATTGATTGACCATTATGAGTAATATATACAATTCTAATTTCATATTGTGAATCTAAAAAATAGAAATAAACAATGAAGAGAGAAGAGTTTAAAGTATGATGGTGGTAGTGATTAGTCATGGTGATAATCATCATTAAAGCCTTCGATATGGTTAGTTGCTAAGTTTTTTATAGGTAAACATGGATCTTGTGGAGTTCAAAATCCTTTACTAGGTTAGTTTGATACCTTCTTTCTTAGCAATCGATATCAAATAGTTAAAATGAACTCTTCATTGTCTAATGTTGTCACTGTTAGAAGTGATGTAATACAAGGCAGTGTCTTAGGCCTGTGGCTCGCTTGAGTGTTTGTTAATGATATATGTGAAAGTCTTTGTGTAGGTAAACCGCTTCTAGATGTTTATGATCTTAAAGTAGTATATTCATTTTCTGTAAATGAGCTGAAAAATTTGCAAAATTTCATCAGCATGGAGCTTAACAAGGTAGGACAGTAGTGTTTAAAATGGCAACTGGAGCTTAATATGGCTAAATGTGGATGGATATGCTTCGATCATACATCACTTAACTTAGATCTTACCATAGATGGTGAAATTACATACAGTAGTACACTTAGGACTTAGGTACTCCTAAGACTTGTCGTTTACAGAACAGATATTGAAACAGACCTCTAAGTCTCAACGTCTTGTAGGTTACATAAGTCGAAACCTTTATAACAACAAGTCACATATTTTGATGTATGAAGTTTGTGTCCGACCACTCCTAGAATACGGCACATTTATCCTTAGTTGTGTGCGGATAAAGAATAAATTAAGGTTGGAATCAGTACAGAGACGATTTACACTTTGGATTCTTGGAACTGATTGTATCATGAATTATAATTCCAGATATAATAAACTTGGACTCGACCCTTTATAGAAAGGGTGACTTAAGCTAAATCCAATCTTTGCTCCGCTGAAAATGCATTAAATGTTCTAGTCACCTGTGAATGCGCCTCATTCCACAAGTTAGATTATAGGAACTTTGAATGTTTAACTATTCATATTAGCGAATTCCCTAAGTAAAGTCACCTACCTGCTGATACTTTACATTAACACCGTCTCTGGCAACCTTAATTAATCTGAATAACATTTGAATAACAATTCCCTGTCTATTAATTACAGTTTGCCGCATTCACAGCCACATATGGCTAATTCTTGTACAAATGTTGTTTCATATTTTATTGGTACGGTGTGGTCTGAGTGCTCTGCTAATCTATACGTAACGATTGAAGAACAGTGAATCATCTACCGCACCAATGATGCATAAAACACGTGCGAGCAGTCTAGAGTCCTTATCAGTCCTGCTTCCTGCTTAGCCCAACTAGTTAAGTCCAGAACACCAATCTCAGCCTCTGTAATATGAATCATTATATTTCAAACATACTGAGTTTATATATCAACCAGACAGATCACATCGTATCATAAAATGGGAAACAACATTTGTACGAGAATTTGTCAAATGTGGCTGTGAATGAAGGGGTAGTAATGAATAGACAGGGAATAATTCAAGGATGGTAAATCGTATAATGATAGTTCATAGATCAAGATAAAGCTCATAATAAGAGAAACATGGTTATGAATAGTTTAGTTATTTAACAATTATACGATAAAAATATACGTATAATATTGGTCCATAAATGGATCCCAAAAGTTACCATTCACTATGCTTATCGGGACCTAACACTAAGCGAGTAAGTGTGCGAGTCAGCGAAACAATGAACATGATTCAAATGTACATATAGATACATAGAGAAATGAATAGAACATCGAATCAATTAAGCGACTATTAATGAAGCTATCAGAATGAATACATGAGTAGGCAGTAAGTAATACTCAAGTACTCAAATACTCAAGTACCCAAACCAAAATAGATGGTTAACTTATGAGGACACACCTCGAGACTTTGACCTACAGGTCTAATCTATAAGGCAGTGAAGCAACTTGTGGAGATGCAATTCCATGGTAGCCGGTGACTAACAATAGGTTCGTCCTCTACTTGTTTCCTCAGGATCCAGGAGATCATGTGCACCATTGGTTTTGTGTCATAGTTTTCCAACTCAGCTCGACAAATTCTTCATATTTACCAACCCGGTTAAGCAGCAGACATTCTTTTTTCGTTCACTCAATTTTGTAAACAACAGTAATACCGCGGGAAGGCAGTGAGTAGGACTTCCCTGGCAATGATTGTATGTACGTGGCCATATGAGAGCATTATAAGGGGGAGAGTTGACTCTCCCCACTCTCAGTCTTGCCAGCGCATGTGGGGGCTAGATTTTCTGGGTCATATCATGGACTGACTTTGTTCAGACAGTTATCGGACATGACAAAGCACTAGATATGTATTTCCTCCTAGTATAGAACTAATCATAGTGCCCATTCACAACTCCATCAAGGATTGAACTCAGAGTCTCGTGATCTCATGGAGGGCGCTTAATATTCAGATGACTGATTAACTACTAAATGGTTGTAAATTTCCAGCTTTAAACATTCTTGGATATTGAGCTCCCATCTTTTAACGTGTGTGATGGGTGGTTGATTGATTACCGAAACTTCTGAACTCCACTAATCATGGCATCTTATTAGAACTCTGATAACCACCTCTCAAAATAAGTCACTGATGATCATACGACTTCACCAAGATAAACAGATTTACTTTATTGTCATTTCCCTAACCTTTCGTAATCAATATCAAACTATACTACTCGTGAAGTTAAGTCAATAATACTAGTGATCATAATGCAGATTAATCAAAAATTATACACTTCTTCACAGTCAAACTATCAATTGCCCCGGTAAAACCGAGAGTGGGGAGAGTCAACTCTTCCTCTTGAAATCTTTTCATATGGTCACGTGCATACAAACACTGACTTCTCGCGGCGTGGGAGTTTTTTTAAGAAATTGAGGCGATGAAAAGCGAATGTCCGGTGGATATGTAGGATTCACCTAAGTCAGCTGGAAAACCCTGATTCAAAACCAATAGCTCATATGGGTTCCAGGATTTTGATGGAACAAATGGCATATGAACCAAATATTGGTCACCGGCCACCATGTGACTGCATCTCCTAACGTTGCCCCACCTTAAGGTCAAAGGCTTCAGGTGTGACTCCCTAAGAAAACCATCTGCTTCGATCTGAGCACCCGGGCAGCATCATATCCCATACACAAAATCAAGTGATTCAATGTGGCGCATATGTATTCAATAAAATCAACAAAAACTATACCTTTATTTAAATTACTTAATACAATCCATGAATTATGTAATTCTCTTTGAGTTTCTTCCCATATCTCTGTATCTAATTGACGAAATTGTACATAAAACATAAATGGATGATTAAATTTTTCAATTTGTTCATTATTATTTATCTTAAAGTTGTTGTTCGTATCTTGTTCAGTTGTGAATTGAATTGTCGAAGAAGAAGACGAAGAAGAAGAAGACGAGGACGAAGATGAAGAAGTTGTCGTTGTAACAGAAGAATCTGTACTATCATTAGCCAACTCTGATTGATTTAAATCATAGATTGATGAAGATAATGGTGTAATCAATGTTAAATTTAATGCATTCACATAACCTTGGACGGAAGTGATTGTAAAAGGGATATAACCATAATCTGTGAAAATAAATGTTGAATAATCAGAATGGAAACTTATAGAGATTATAGTAATTTTATTAGTTAAATACATGCGTTGATCTAAACTAGAAAACCATTGTCCCCACTCGCGTTCCGTTCACTACATTTGGTGTCACTGCCAACCAGGAGGGGAAGGGTGCTGTTCTGCAAACGCCGCTGCGGATCTGGAGCTGAGGTGCTAGCTGGGGCAGTCCGGTGCGGAGAGGTGGCGTCAAGTGGATTGTTCTGGAAGGGTGGTGTTGGCTGCAGCGCATTCTGTCGATGAAGAGGAGCGATGAGACGTGCAACTACTAGGCGGACATCGGATGTAGATGGCTCAGCAGACCGTCGGAGAACGGGTGTTAAATGTCTCAGGTGCTGAGTGAATGTCGGATGTTGTTGCCCCAGCAGATCAACGGAGCTATGGAGGTCAGCGCACCGCAGATTCGACATTTTGACGGAGATCGTAGTACAGACTGCGGAAACGAAGAATGGGGCACGGCGAGCATGAACCACCTCAAGAACTACTGCTTCAGAGGGGGGACGAGTGTGCAATTTGTATGAAAATTCAAGAACAACGAAGTCTGAGTCATTTTGAGACAATCGACTGACATTTTTCAAGTTAAGCATTTACTTTATGATTGTTAGATTTTATTAACAAATCCTGTAATTTTGTATTAAATACATTCGATTGTCCTAGACTGTTGCTTCATCTTTCCATTGGACTCCTCAGCAGTACGCATTTATGATTCAACACGTAGGACTCAAATTCAGGACCCCTGATCTCACCTGCGAATGATTATTCTTTAGACCAATGAACCGGTATCTAATGGTGTTAATGTCTAACCTAAATCGACCCACGAAATCGAATCATCGCACACAATTGTCTGAGATTTAGTGAAGGATAAAGAAATCATTCATCTTCAAGGTTGTACCCAAATTCAAAGCACATATTATTAATTCAGTTGATAGATATCAGACCCGTGTACTTGACTATCATTCATGCCCTAACTATAAGGTTTGATAATACAAGCTGATAGCATAAACAAGAGTAAATCGAGGGTGGTTTTATTTTTTTAAACTCTGAACCCTTAATCCTATTTTCAGGAATGACAACACATAACTGGTGATAACCAAATGTAATTTAATACAACATTACAGAATATCTCGGTAAACTCTGAGAACCATACAGTAAATACTTCACCAATCAATCGCTATTCTCGTTCTCACTTGATTTTCTCAACATTCTGCCTCCAGGCATTCTAATTTCAACCAGTGATATATACTACTTATATCCGTCGACATCTTACTGACTTACGCCTATTACTCCCAGTGGAGCATAGACGGCCGACCAGCATTCCCAAACCCACTCTATCCTGCACCTCCCTTTCTAGGTCTATTCAATTGCTCCTCATTCTTTTTGTGTCTGTCTCCATTTCTCAGTGTAATGTGTTCTTTGTTCTTGCTCTTTTCCTTTGACCATAAGGGTTCCAAGTGAGGGCCTGCCTTTTGAAGCAATTAGGTGATTTCTTATCCACTTCTAGCACTTCTTCCTAGTTTCTTTCTCCGCTACAATCTGGTTTGTTCTTTCTCACAGTAGATTGTTGCTGATGTTGTCTGGTCAACGGATCCGAAGTATTTCGCCTTAATAACTGTTAATAAACACTTGTATCTTCTGGATGACATCTTTCATAGTTCTCCAGGTTTCCACGTCATACAGTACAACTGTCTTGATACTTGAATTGAGAATTCTGACTTGGGTGTTGGTTGACAGACAGTTGTTTTGAGTTCCAGATATTCTTCAGTTGTAAATATGTTGTTCTTGCTTTGCCGATCCGCGCCTTCAAATCTGCATCAGATCCACCATGCTCATCAATGACGCTGCCCAGACATGTGAAGGATTTCACATCTTCCAAAGCTTCTCCAATCAAGTGCGATTCGAATGGTTCGTGCTGTGTTGTATTGGAGAATCTTGCTTCTCCTGTTGTGTATGTTGAGACCTACTGCTGCTGAGGCTGCTGCTACACTTCTCCTTCATTTGTTGTTGCGTGTGTGATAGAAGAACCAGATAATCTGCGGAGTCTATATCGTCCAGCTTTTCAATAGCTAACATGTTGACTTGATATATACATCATGATCTTGGAACGATTTATACATATGATCCAACTTTCAAGTGATGAGATCTTCAAAAAAGGAACATTTCCAACTACATATATATCAGATGGGTTTTTATGGAGATTGTAGTAATTTCAATGGTTAAGATCATGAGTCAGTTGAAGCTAGACAACCATGGAAAACCTGAAAGCACTGGACGGCCGTTTCGTCCTATTGTGGGACTCCTCAGCAGTGCGCATCCACGACCACGCCCCCCGTCCAGTGCTTCCAGGTTTTCCATGGTGGTCTAGCTTCAACTGACTCATGATCTCAACCGCTGACATATATATACATATATAACAAATAATATTAATATTATATTATTACCATGACTAAGAGTTGCTGTACGAAAATTTACAAAAGTTGATTCACCACGTCCAACAGCTGTTTTAGCCCATATATATAATGAATAATTAGTATTCATCTTTAAACCTGATATACGTGTTGCACATTGTTCTGGATCTTCAATTGTTATAGAAGAGATTAGTTGAGAAGTTCTTTTTGAAATTCTTTCAATTGTATCAGTTAGATTATCTAAAATTTAAGAAAAAACACAATGATTCATTAGGAAATTTGAATAAAAGGGTAGAGACTGGTGTCTACCTCAGTACAATGAAAGATTGTCGGGCAATTTCGTGAATTCGGTAAAATTAAACATTAATACCATCGAAACCCGGCCGGCTCAGTGGTCTGGAGGTTAAGCATTAGCCTGCAAGATCGGAGGCCCTCGGTTCGAATCTCAAGAGCTCACTGGTGAGGAGTCCTAAAGTAGGACGAAACGGTCGTCCATTGCTTCCAGGTTTTCAATGGTAGTCTAACATCAGTCGGTTTGTGGTCTCACTCAAAAACCTAATAATCGCCATGAAATGTGGGCGAGAATGATAATGATTTGTTGTCTGCTTAGTCAGATATGTAGATAGTCTGACAGGTATCAAATGAGTTATATATTCCCTTATCCTTATAATTATTATTGATTGTTGTTGGATCGTGTCGGGTTTTGGTGTGGAAATATATTCACGTTCTAGTCAGGCTAATCACGTGTTCTTGATCTGAGTTGTGTTGAAGTCCTGTAGAATAGACACTGGGATATTCGTCTAAGGTAAATTAACGTCCCATACATGTAAACGTGGAAGCCCAACCGTTATAACACTCCATAATCCCATACTGAGAAACACAGTTGGATGCAATTATTTAGAGGTTATAAGACTCATTCCCTAAGGATTCAGATTCTTAAAATTTTACGGAATACGGACAAAGTCTGATTTCTTTTTCGGCGGGATCGTGGATGCGTACTGCTGAGGAGTCCTACAATAGGACGAAACAACTGTCCAGTGTTTCCAGGTTTTTCATGATGGTTTAGCTTCAATTGACTCATGATCTAAACTACAAATTTCATATAATTTGTTGTTCCTAAACACTCCTATGTCAACAAACTGAACCAATGGTGAAACGTTCTTTCACGAGACAGAACATCCTGGGTTCGATTCGTGTTTATGGATATACCCTACTATGGAGTTCCGTACAAGTACTAAAACAGCTGTACAATTCATTAAGCTTTTTCAACGGTTTTCTAGTTTTGATCGATCCATGGTTTCAGTGAACTTGTTGAGTAAATCGTAGTATTAAATTTTACTAAGAATATTTCAAATTTGAATTGCTTGATTGTTGTAGTAACTAATTCATTCAAATAACACTTTGAAGGTGAACTTTAAGATTAAAACTTCGGTCGAGTGTGTTGTCACATGGCTACGCGTACACAGTCACTGTCAGGGAATTCCTACCAACTGACTGCTCGTGGTGGGGTTGCTTACGAAAGAGAAATGACGGGAAGCGACTGTCGAGCACTTTAACCGGGTTGGTAGATTTGGAGGATCCATCTAGGGGAGTTGGAAAACCCTCATTCCAAATCAATAGTGTATATAATCTCCAGAATTCTGAGGGAACAAATGGGGTATGAACCTATTGTTGGTCACTGGCTACCATAGAACTTCATCTCTTTATATTGTTCGACTGCCTTATGGATTATATTTGCAGGTGAGTGTCTCAGGTTGTGGACTCCTAAGAAAACAATCTCTTTTGTTTTGGGCACTCGGGAAGTATTTCAGCCCTTACATAAGTGAATGACACGGTTTAGCGCATAGATACTTGACACCCCCTTGTATCAATATTTATGTGTAAACAAAAATGAATGAATGAGGGTGGGGTGAGAGTGGGAGAAATGGGAAATCAGGCAATTAAAACAATTTAACCTACTTAAGTATATTTCTAAATCATATGAAATTAAATTTCCATTTAAAATCATTGGCTTAATCCATGATACTTCAATATGATTAACACCAATAAATGTAATAGTTAATTCAGATACTTTCTCTGGTACACCTTCTTTAGTTTCTACAAGGATTGCATCACTATAAAAGAAATGAAAATTGAAAATAGATTTACAATAAAATATAAAATATCAATGTAACTGTTTAATGGAAAAACAGGGAGTGTATACACCGACGACATTGTGATTGATTCTCAGCGATGTCACACAGAGTTATCAACTATTGGTTACGATAGTCATGAGGAACATAATCAAGTAGTCTGCATCTACCAATATGGCTAAGACTAGAAGTTAGTGATTTCAAGGACTGATGCCACGTTTTTGGTTTGGCCGCCCTTAACTTTCTTACAACCAACCCCTACACTAGTCAGTATTGCGCATCGTGTATACATTGCGTCTAACCTCACTATTACTTACCCGGTGATCCTAACAGATGCGAGCAATATTTCTAAGACATCTGTAGTCAAATACTATGAGCTTACGAGTATCTTCTACTCTTAAAGGCCACGTTGGTCGACCATAAAGTAGAACAGAACAAACTGCCGCGAAGTATACTCGTCCCTTGATTGACAGACTGATATCTCGTTTTCCCTGTAGGCGATGTATTTTGGCAAAAGCCAAACGAGCTTTTTGAATCCGTGCAGACATTTCTTTAGACACCAACTCATTAGAGTTGATCAGACTTCCAAACTAAGTGAAGCTGTCGACGTGTTCGACTGCTCCACCCACTCTCCTTAGTTCAGGTGTTGATGTAGGCCAGTCCTGAAGTGGCAACTTAGGTTTAGAGGGAGAAAAAACGTATTCCAAACATTCTAGCATTGTTGCCTAATGCTATCAAAAGACTGCATTTTATCGGCGTCTTCATCAAACAGCACTATGTTATCTGTGTATTCTAAGTCAATAAGTGGACCTCCTGGAAGGAGATCAATGCACGAAAATTCTGTCGACGAGAACGTTATTTCCATCAGTATTTGTATGACGAAGTTGAACAAACGTGTAGATAGTTGACAGCCTTGATGGACACCACTTGAGGTTGCTAAATCAGATGACAGTTCTCCACAAGCTCTGACTCGAATGGTAGTGTTCGAGTAATGTGCCTTCACAAGGTTTATGTACTTCTGAGGTACACCTTTCAATGACAGACACAGAATCTGTCGGTCTACAGAGTCAAATGCTGCTTTTAAGTCAAGAAAGACCAACATTGTCGGACACCAATAAGCATGCCTGTGTTCTAGAATCTTATGAATGGTGAATATGTGGTCGGTGCAGCCACGACTAGATGTGAAGCCAGTCTGGTTTTCTCGTGTTTGTAGTCCATGAGTCTTTGCTAAGCGTCGGATGATTACTGAGGCTAGAATTTTAGATGCTTTATTAGTTAAGCTAGTCCCTCTGTGAATATCACAGGATGTTTTTCCCCCTTCTTATGTATTGGGACAATCAGTGATTGCGACCAGTCAGATGGCTTTACGTCCAACTACCAGATTTTAGCTAAAATGTTAGTCAACCTCATCGCTAAAACTGGACCATCATTCTTAAATACCTGTGGAGCAAATCCCTCTGAACCATCTACCCTTCCTCGTTTCAGATTAGCTATGGCCTTATAAATTCAGTGTACTATTCAATGTAGTTTTACACAAATCCATTGATAGATAAATAGATAGCCGGATAGACAGATAGATAGATAGATGTGTGGATAGATATATAGATACCCCGAAATGCCCTGGTACGTCTGAGAGTGGGAAGAGTCCTCTTTCCTTCTCAAAATGCTCTCACATGTCCACGCGTATATAGCATCTGCCAAGGAAGTCCTACTCACTGCCTTCTCACACAATTACTGTTGTTTACGAAATTGAGACGACGAAAAGCGAATGTCCGGCGTTTTAACCGTGTTGGTGGACACAAAGAGTCTCCTTATGTGAGTTGGGAAATCCTGGTTCCAAACCAACGGTACACATGATCTTCAGGATCCTGAAAGAATAAATGGTGTATGAACCAATTATTGGTCACCAGCTACCATGAGACTGCATCTCCTTAGATTACTCCGCTGCCTTGCAGATCAGACCTTTAGATCAAAAGCTCCAGGTGTGGCCCTTTAAGAAAACCACCTGTTTCGGTTTGGGCACCCGGGCTTTATCACAATCTACACACAAATCAAATGAGGATTTATGTGGCGAATATATATCTGGTGCCTTCTTGTACCAAAATCTATGTGATCAAATAAATAATGCTAGACCATCATAGAAAATCTAGAAGCACTTGATAACTGTTTCGTCCTAATATAGAACTTCTCATCAGTGTGCATCCACTATCGCACACCGCGAGATTCAAACCCAAGACCTATCAATCTCGCATGTGAAACATTAAACCTTTAAACCATTGAGTCGGCCAACATTCAACCGTATTCATATTCATTTATAAATTACCTTTCTGGTCCAGCATATTGTATATTAAGTATACGAACCCATATTTTTAATTTTGTTTTACCCGGTAATTCATTTAAATAAACTTTATAATAATCATTTTCATATTGAATACTTGAATTTTTCATTGTATGTGAATGTTCTAATGTAGATGATCTAGTTATTGGGATACTTTTAGTATTGATTACATTATTATTATTATTATTATGAATAATCTCTCTATTCAATAGTTCATTATCTAGCAATGTTATAGATGACATTCGACGTAGATTTGGAAATGACCAAGATGGAGGTTGTTCAAGAATATAATCCTTGAAATAGAAAAAAAAAGGTAAAGAATTTATGATTGAATGTATAATGAATTTATGGTAATTTCACTAATTGTAATCATGAGTCAATTGAAACTAAACCATCATGGGAAATGTGGAACCACTGGACGGTTGTTCCGTCCTAGTATGGGACTCCTCAGCAGTTCGCATCCACGATCCCGCACCCCGCGAGATTCGAACCCAGGCGCTATCAGTGTCGCACCAGGCGCTTAACCAATTAGACCATCAGTCCGACCGGCATCCAACGGTGTTAATCTCTAACTTCAACCAATCCATGAAGTTGCGCCACCGTACACCATTGTCATCAGTGAGTTGATATTTCACAGCAGACCTGGTAATTGTCTATAAAAGCCTAATTAGCGACATTCACCATTATACAAGTACTGGAGTGAATATCAACTCCCTGTTGCCAGTACATCTAGCTGACGAGTCCTAAATAGGATGTGATTAACGTCATGTGTAATAATGATGTTGCAGACCAAATGCTGCTAAAAAAATTTCGGGTTATAGTAATTAATAAATCATTAGCACAGTTTTAACCAGATCGTTCAGTTTTATTGGGATCCTAGGTCAGTAACCTTGTAGTGCTTAACTTCAGTTTCATTATAGTATAAAACAGATTACCAACTCCCAGTGAGGAAGATACAAATTGAAAATAATGTATGATAGACACTTAATGTCGTGTGTTGGTTAAAGTTAGACTTAGGAAGCACTGCATGAAGCAGGTCGATTTTCTAAAGGTTAAGTGTTCATTCACGAAACCTAAGAGTCTGGGTTTGATTCCCAGATTCAGAGTTGAGAATTCTTAGTGCTAGAAAGTATCAGACTAGAGCAGAATGGCTGTACACTGCCTCCAAGTTTCTTATGGTTACTTAAACATGTTCGATTCTCGATTCGAATATAAGTAATAAACGCTTATATATCAAGGTGTTCAATTCTTTCTGTACTCTACTAAACACCTTTAAAGCAAACGACACCAGTTTGAATTATTCTTCATAATTCATCCAACTACAAAATGATTTTGATGGAGTTTTGTTCTCTAAGCTGGATAGTTTAGTCGTGGAGCTTTCATCATTCTTCTTAACCATTGATTGATAAGTTGGATTGGAAATTATGCACAAATATAGGAACAAAAATCAAACCAATTTGGAGATACAACCAAAACAAAGAAGTAAACAATGACAGATTTAAGGTCAAGAAGAACCAATCAACATCAAGATGTACATGACAGGCTGTGAACTATGTGTGGAGAAATTCGAATACTTCACTTCTACCTGAAGTTTGTGCTGATGATGTTGTTCAGAAGAATAATGAAAGCTCCACGAATAAATCATCCCATCCAGAGAACAAAATTCTATCAAAATCATCTATCTGAGCTAAAAACCATCTCCACCGTCACAAAATGATTTGAATATCAGGAGTCAGTTGAAGAAAAAAACGATTGATGTTAGACCACCATTGAAAACCTGAAAACACTGGACGGCCGTTTCGTCCTATTGTGGAACTCCTCAGCAGTGCTTATCCACTGCCTCGCTCGCGAATCTGTTGTGAGATAGTGACTCACTGAAGACAATGGTGAATATGTCACTCAACTTTGTGGTTTAGTTGAAGTTAGACTCTGGGTACGAATCCTGCGAGCGAGATCATACATGCACACTGCTGAGGAGTCCCTTACTAAGACCAAACGACCGTCTAGTGTTCCCAGGTTTTCAATGATAGTCTAACATCAATCGGTTCAAGATCTTAATCAATAATCTCCAGAACCTCATACTGATAAAAATGAAAACGAACCAAAAAACTTTCTAACCTGAACTTTTTTATAAAATTCACATGAATCATTTGATAAATCAGCATTACACCATTCAATTCGAAATCCTTGAAATATACCATTGATTTTTAATAAGAAATTAGAATCTTTGATCATTTTCCAACTAAGTAATAAATGATTTGAACCAATATATAGAACTCTTAATTGAATTGGTATTAATTGTGGTATATCTTCACCTGAACGACCAGTAAATATTAATGGTTTAGTACCAGATGAACCTAAATAGTTTTCAGCTTGTAAAGTAACCTATAAAATACAATATAGTACCCTTTCATAAATATGTATGAAGTAAATAGTATCATAGTTATGGTTCAATGTTTACAATGTTAACAGTATTGCAATAAATTGATTAGTCTTTGAATGTTACGAATGTCATCAACGCTTATAGTGTTCACTTATTGTCTTATAATTGATTGATCACTGAATGGTGATCAATGTCATGTGTGTCAAGTCCTTCTTAGTACAGATCGAATGCTATCGACCAAGATTCTATGTGGCCGCTAGTCCAACCACCATCATATCACAACATACTGCACGTAATGTCGAGTCAATTAGATTAATGGCCATATTGCAACTTGGTCGATAGCATTCGATCTGCACTAAGAAGTACTTGACATACATGACATTGATCACCACACAGTGATCAAATAATTGTGATTACATCTCAGTCCTATAGGACGTCAGTCACGGCCGGGATAGCTCAGTGGTTACGCGTCTGGCTGTGAAGCTGGGTGACACGAGGTCGAATCCGCCAGGGAGCACCAGTCCCTCAAGATTACAGGTACATCTTGCTGACGAGTGCCAAGTAGGACGAAACACGGGTTCAGGGTTTCCTGTTGACTACCTCCAACCACCATCTTACCACTTATTGGGCGTCCTACTCACGTTTATTCACGTATTCGGTGACTGTTGAACGTCAGAGTTTGATTTTCACCAAACATTTTACTTCAAGAGGAAAAAATGAGAATTTTTGGTGCTTTAACCAGATTGGTGAATATTGAGGGATCTCCATAGGGGAGTTGGAAAACCCTGACTCAAATCCAATGGTGCACATGAGCTCCTATATCCTAAGGAACATGCATGTTCTGATGTTGCTCCATTGGACCATACTTTTAGATCGAAGGCTCGAGGTGTGGCCACCATCTGTCTCGGCCTGGGCACCCAGACAGTATCACAGCCCGCACAGAAATCATGTGACTTGTGTGGTGCATATGTATTTGATTCCATTTTGTACCAATATTCGTGTGTTCAAATGCATAAAGTAATAAATAATAACATAAAGCATATCAAATCAGGATGAATTCTATGTACTATTGTTGATTTAAAGATCATTGGCCAATGGACAACGGCGAGATTATAATTTGTGGACGAATCAATCACGAATAAGATAACAGGTCGCAGATTTTGTCGCAAAATTCACTCATTCATTCGGATAAATAGAAATTTGGCAATAATAGCTGATGTCATTTCGTGATGAAAAACCTAAATCTAATTTCTAACCTTAATCAGCAACTGTAAAATCGTAATTCGAATTCCTGGCATAGGTTTATAACCCTTATTTGGTTCTGGTTATTAGGTGGGCATTGTCAAAGTCAGTCTGACGTCGCTCAATAGTCGTTCATAAATTAAAGTCTCAATCAGTCAGTTACAACGTAGGACCAGGCATCTATATGCATCGGTCCAAGTTGCCATACTTCATTAGTACAACAACATAAACAGTGAATTCGTAGAAGTAGTTAATTCAATTGTAGTAATATGTAAAAGAAGGATTGCGTATAATGATATAGTACAGGAAGAAGGAGTTAGTTCGTAGAAAGAAAGGTATAAAGTTATTTTAGCCCCGTGTTTTAGAGGGGGACAAAGAGTGTATACATCTACACTATTGTAATCGTTTCAGAGCCATGTCATATAGAGTCTCTAACCATTGGTTACGATAGTCTCACCGGACAATCATTAAAATCTTAAGGACAATCAATAATCATTCATCTTGGTCAGATGCTTACTAGAGTTACTTTTCTTAAATTCATAACCTACCTAAGTATCTTATCTCATAGCTGTCAAGGATCTCGGTAAGTAAATTACTACTAAAACCCTAAAATCGATATCTACTAATCCATATCTTTAACTTCGATTCATTCTATACTCCTTCAATATAGAAATATTATGTTACTTTATCTCTTCCACTAGTTCAATAATCATATCGTATTGTGGATCGTGGGGTGTCTATTCTAATTTCTACCGATTGATCAACTTCAGATATCCCAGTTATATAAATAATATACCCTTGTTGGCCAGGGTAATCTTACATTAGTTTTCAGGAGAACCAGACACCACCCGAACTTTCATGTGGCAACCCAAACAGTACAGCCCAACCCCGTTTAGCAGGGAGACCAGACACCGTATAGGCTTTAACGCTACAATTCGAATAGTACAGCTCAATCCTGTGGCGCAACCACACAGGTACCAAGCACCCTGGTGGACCATTCGCACCATTCATATACACATTCACATCACATGTATAGTTATTCCGATCAATGATCGCGTGAATCAATTATGCACAGCACAAATAGGCCAAATTTAACCTATTCCGCTTACACGACAGTCAAACTCGTTAATGTTAGCAAGAGCGACATGCCTTACAATGTCCCAATGACAATGGCCCTCGGGAACACTGAAAAGCAAGCACCAGTATGAATGAAATCGGTTAACCAGCAAACCAATTTTTTGCATGAACAGCCAGCAAAACTTTCCAAATCAATGCCGAACCATCCACAATAACAATGGCGAACCTCCAGCCTCATATGAGACCTTCAGCTCTACATAGCCATATAGTTTATACTGCATACAACACATATGTAGGGTAGTAAGCGAAATAATCTAGCCTGAAGCGTTATGGCTTAAATAATACTTAAAATCCACTGTCTGATGCTGGAATACTATAACTAGACCACCAAGGTCATTTTTATCGCATTTGCAAAATTTCCGACTTTTCAGACCCTGAGTTTCGGGTAGTATCCCTTCAGATATCCTAGTACGACCCCAATACTGTTCCTCAATCTCCAATATATCACAACACGAACGGATAGATGAAAATTGTTTATGGAGTCAGGAGAAGAAGAAGAAGAATATCCCAACATATCGGTCATCATACTATGGTATGATTTACCATTGTTCTTTTCAAATTCTTTCAATCTATTCAATTATTCATCAATTCTATGTTAAATTTAATTCTTACCTGATAAGTACGAAATACTTCTATATTCCATTTATCAAATTGATTTAGTTCATTCCTATTTGATGATACCTTTGATGTGATTAATTCAGTTAATTCTATTCTATCTTTAGACCAATTTTTAATGATTGTATAATTGAATACATCTTTTGATGGACCATAAATACAATCCATACAATGAATAGTTAAACGATATATTAAACCAGGACCATTATGTTGAATAGGATCCAAAGGCTGTGTTAAAAAGCAAAAGAAAAAAAGTTTTAAAGCAAAAATGGATAATGGTGAACAGTGAAATCTAAGACGCACATTTCATCCTAGTTGGGACTCGTCAGCTGGATATATCTGCACCACATAGTTGATGTTTACTCTGGGACTCGAACTCAATACCGTCCGCTTTAAATGCTCTTGTGTTATGCACTTAACTATTGAGTCATGATAGCCACCTGCTTGTGCAGTGAGGTGAAGTTTTAAATTCACTTGATATTGTTTAATTGGATCTTTCCGTTGATGTTTAGGACTGTAATTGATCAGTCTTTTATTGCCATATGTGCATACTGTGTGTTGCTGACAATTACTGGGTAGGTGTATTGCCTCGCACAAAAGAATATGCAAATACTTTCGATACTACAAAAAATGCATTCATTCTATCTCCAATAGGTATTAAGATTACTATTATTGCTGTAATCATTAGAATGTACAAAAGTCTTCACTTGACATTTCATTAAATCTATCTTATATTACTCATTATCCCTCTCTCACATCACTTTTTATCAGTATGGGATTATGGAGATTGTTGATCTTTGATTGAGATCATGAATTGATCAGTGTTAGACCACCATTGAAAACCTGGAAGTAATGGATGGCGGTTTCGTCCTAGTACAGGACTCTTCAGTAGTGCATGTTCACGATCCCACACCAAATGGATTGGAACATAAGATCTTCTGTCTTACGCACAAACTTCTAACCTCTAGATCACTGAGCTGGCATCCAACGGTGTCAATGTTTAACTTCAACCAATCCAGGAAACGGTGCAATTAGATATCTGTCTCTACCCGACACGGATTGAACTCCACTGACCACAGCCTCTCAATAGAACTCCGAGATTTATCTCTCAAAGCCCGTTACTAGTGAGTACATGATACTTGTCATAATGGAGTTAAACAAGATTTGTGGATACCAGTGGTAACAGCCAATATATTTCTAGTTCCATTATAAACTTCATTTTGAGAAATGAATACATTTTCATATATGATGATAACTTGATAACAAACAAACTTATCTAAATCTAATCAAAATCAAGATGTAACCTGCTACTGAGTGTGAACTGACAGACATAGATTATGTATGATTTTACTCCTCTTGAATGTAGACTGCTTGAATTAAGTGTGATCTAAGGTATACTCTATTCCGCTACTTTTGGTCTAGAATCATGTATCTGGTGTATGTATTTAAGGTATTGATCAAATATTCAGTCTAGTGGTAATACAGTCTTGGTCATCGATCGTGGAAGTGTATATGAGTAGTATAACGTGGGAAACAGAAAATATTCTTACCTTCCCATTGCATTATTTCCTTTTTGTCTTTATTCTGTAACGTATATTGATTAATGTCTATAGTACTGTCATACTGTGTGTTTGACCAGTTAATTATAATTACAACTAGATTATCACTGAGTAGTGACCAATTTCATGTTCCTTATATACTGATTGGATTGGATCGATTAAGTTTCACTATGGATACTGGTCTAAATTACTAGAAATTCAGAGCACTTTATCGAAATGTTCATCATTGATGAACACGATGGATCTGATGCAGAAGCATATCTATAATTGAAGAACATCTGGAACTCAAAACAACTGTCAACTAACATCAACGTCAGAATTTTCAATACAAATATCAAGACAGTTCTATTGTATGGGATGGAAACTTGGAGAACTATGAGAACCATCATTCAGAAGATACAAGTGTCTATTATTAGTTATATACGCAGAATACTTCGGATCCATTGACCAAACACTATCAGCAACAATCTACTGTGAGAAAGAACAACCCAGATACCAGTGGAGGAAGAAACCAGGAAGAAGTGGTGGAAGTGGATAGGACACACAATGAAGAAATAATTCAACTGCATCACAAAGAAAGCCCTCACGTAGAATCCCCAAGGCCAAAGAAGGAGAGGAATACCAAAGAACACATTGCATCGAGGAATGGAGACAGACATGAAAAGAATGAACACCAATTGGATAGAACTAGAAATGGAGGTTCAGGACAGAGTGTGTTTGAGAATAGTGTTTGGCAGCCTATGCTCGATTGGGAGTAACAGGAGTAAGTAATATACCGAAATGTTAGGTCTTTGAAAATAGTCATCAGAAAAAATGAGAAAATCCAGTTCAAATTGTATATAGTTTCTTGTTGAGTACTACCAACCAACTAACATCTCAGCATTGTGTACAGGATTCTAAGTCGATTAAACAATTTCCAACATTGGAAATGAGTCCTTTGAACCTGATCAATGTTAAGGACTAAATACAAAACAGGAAATTAGTCACTACTTAGTGATTAACAAACCTAAATACCTCAGTTCCATAAAAGATTAGCTTTGTTTTGAAAAGCTCAGTAGCAACGTCTCAAACTATGAAACTATGTGATGTAGGTTAGAATTCAAAATGGAACACCATATCACTCACGATCACAGGTACACCATGCCAACCGAACACTGACTTTCATAAAAACTTAGATGGAGTTAGATTTCTTTTAGACTGCTTCGAACCATCTGAAAAATTATATTGGTTTTAATCTATTTACAATTGTATGTAACATATTTCTTAGTTTCTATTAACTAATCATTCTACAAAGGTAACACAACTTGTAATCAAAGATAATACTGAGTTATTCAGTTAATAAGATCATACATTGGCTCGCGCGCGAAACATCTACGTCCTAGGTTCGAATCCAGCGAGGAGCAATCGTGGATGCGTACTACTAGAACGAAACAGCCATCCAGTGCTTCCAAGTTTTCTATGATGGTCTAGCTTCAATTGACTCATGTTCTCAACCATTGAAATGGTAAACAAACCCTTCTGAATCATGAAAATGTCATATTAACTAAACAAATTAACTAGTAAATTGATTCAGAAGCGTACTTAGATAACGTGTTGATATATACCATGTATAAACATCATCACTGAAATCTAGATACATAAAGTTGATGAATATTAATTGAAATGAAACATATATCTTAGATCCTTCTATTAAGTACCAAATAAGAATCTCAGTTTACTTCACTATCCAAAATAGAACCTCATTATTTCTTAATCAGTATGGGGTCGTATTTCTTCTGATTAGTGTTTTATGGCGAGTTAATTTTTTACAGGATAGGGTCACTAACCCCATGCTCAACCCTCCTCCTTTAACCGGGCTTGGGGTCAGCAGTAATTCTAGAAGAGCTATAGGTGGAGCCTCTGCATTAGTAGGCCTCAACATACACAAAGGAAAAACCAAGATCCTCAAATACTACATGGAGAACACCAACCCAATCACATTTGATGGCGAAACTTTAGAAGATGTGGAATCCTTCACATAACTAGGAAGCATCGTCGATGAACAAGGAGGATCAGAACGAGATGTAAAGGCGAGGATTACAAAGCAAGGGCTACATTCCTACAATTGAATAACATATCGAACTCAAAACAACTGTCTGGCAACCAATATCGAAGTCAGAATCTTCAATACGAACGTCAAGGCAGTTCTACTCTAAGGAGCTGAAACTTGAACAACTACTACAAACATTATCTAGATGGTACAAGTATTTAGAAATAATTGTCTATACAAAATACTCAACATCCATTGGCCGGATACGATCAGCAAGAGCTTTCTGTGGTAGAGAACAAATCAGGAAAATTAGGAAAATCCGATGGAAATAGATGGGACATACATTACGGAAATCACCAAACTGCATCATGCAACAAGCGCTAACTTGGAATTGTGACAGAAAGCGGAAAAGAGGAATGCCAAAGAACACATAAAATCGGGAAATAGATGAATAACAATTGAAAATAGCTGTAAACAATTGCCCATGACAGAGTTGGATAGTGGGTGCTTGTGAGCGGCCTATTATCGTCGAGGAGGAGTAACGGCGTAAGTAAGTAAGTAAGTAAGTAAGTAAGTAAGTAAGTAAGTAAGTAAGTAAGTAAGTAAGTAAGTAAGTAAGTAAGTAAGTAAGTAAGTAAGTAAGTAAGTAAGTAAGTAAGTAAGTAAGTAAGTAAGTAAGTAAGTAAGTAAGTAAGTAAGTAAGTAAGTAAGTAAGTAAGTAAGTAAGTAAGTAAGTAAGTAAGTAAGTAAGTAAGTAAGTAAGTAAGTAAGTAAGTAAGTAAGTAAGTAAGTAAGTAAGTAAGTAAGTAAGTAAGTAAGTAAGTAAGTAAGTAAGTAAGTAAGTAAGTAAGTAAGTAAGTAAGTAAGTAAGTAAGTAAGTAAGTAAGTAAGTAAGTATGGGGTTATGAATCATATAATCAATCAATGCTAGACCTTCATTAAAAACCTTAAAACCTTAAAAGATGATTTCGTCCTAGAATAGAACGTTCTTCATCAGTGTACATATCTACAATCTCACACTGAATGATCTTGATCTAATCCATACACCAAAATGATTACATCACATATATTACCTTCCATTGTATAATTAAATTATTTGGTTTATTACCATATACTATTAAATAATCTGGATTAATGAATGTTGGCATTGGTGGTAATATACATAATTCATTAGATTCAATTGATAATTTTGGTATTATATCACTTGGTAATGATTTACCAATAGAATTTATTAATTCAATACGAAAATGATAAATAACATCATAATTTAATTGTAGAAATGCACGTCCTCTATTCAATGGTAATTTATGTAATTCCATGGTACTACTATTAAGATTATTATTATCAGTAGTATGATTATAATGATGATGACGTAATGATTGATTTTTAGTTTTTAAATAATCAATAATTTCCATTTCTGGTATAAGATCAATAATATTCCATTGATTTTTTATGATTGATTGATTAATAATTGATTGAGCGATAGATAATGTTGTTTGATTTAACCAATAAATATGATTATGATGATTATATTGATTATTATTGATTGATTGATTATATTGATTTGTTAATGAATCATCTTTTATAGGACGATAAAATCCTGTAATATAAGTAATGATTACTTTATTAATTGGTGTATAATATAGTTCATCAAATTCCCATGTTAACATAATATATGGTGATAATGGATTATGATAATTACATAATAATTTTATTGATTTTGGAGGTTTTGGACGACCTAAAAAAGGGAATAGGAAAAGAAAGAAACAAAATCATGAAGTTATTACCAAAAATTGATTGAATTGTGTTGCTAAGTGGAGACTACTTGGTTGGGATAGTAACCGATATATGGCTCAAAATCGTTTACAATGGTGTAGGTGCATCCACTGTTTGTGTTCTCCCTAATTTTAATCTTCTGAATTCTTTGTGTCTTTTTTCTTTCTCTTTCCAGATTCATTTCACTGGATTATACTCATTGAATAACATCTTCAAACCCTAATCTTTCCGATTTCTGCTTATACTTTTACTCTATCTATCACTAAGGGATTTGAATCGACAACTGCATCTCTGTGCTAATGTGATGTGGCAACTCGAACTGATGTACGTACGTACGAAGTTCTACGTTGTTACTGACTGACTGAAGTGGGGGGTTTTACGGATAATATTTGTAATTACAATAGTCGAGATCATGAGACAATTGAAGTTAGATGAGGGTGTTGATTACAAAATCGAAAGGACAAAAAGCTAATGTCCGGTGCTTTAACCGTATTGATGGATATGGAGGATCCATCTAAGAAAGTTGGAAAACCATTGGTGTACATAAGTTATAGGATTCAGAGGGAATAAATGGCGTATGAACCAATTGTTAGTCACCGGCTACCATGGGACTGCATCTCCACAATTTGCTATACTGCCTTAGACCTTTAAGACTAAGAAAATCACCTGTTTCGGTCAGGGCATCTGAGCAGTATCACAGCCCACACACAAACCACGTGACTTGTGTGGAGCATACGTATTCGGTACCCCTTTGTACCAATACTAAATAAATAACTAATCCTATGGTTGAATTCATGAGTCAGACCATCATGTAAAACCTGGAAGCACGGAATGGCCGTTTCGTCATAGTATGAGACTCCTCAGTAGTGCGCATCCAGGATCTTGTCCCACGGGATTCGAACACGGAGCCTGTCAGTCTCACGCGCGAACGTTCTACCTCTGGACCACTGAGCCGGCCGGCATTCAACGGTGTTAACGTCTAAATTCAACTAATCCACAAAATTGAGAGACACATCCACCATTGTCTCGTGACAAACCGAAAGTTCTAGACTCGATTCTCCTTGGTGGAAATTCGTGGCTGGCATTATTCAAAAATTCCATACTAGAACGAAACAGCCGTTTAATGCTTCCAGGTTTTCAATAGTGATCTAACCTACTTTCAATTCAAAACTTCAGTACTTCACTCTTAGTGCTTTTAAAACCTCAGGAAGAAAAAAAACACGAAATATATTTGATTACCTTGAACTATAAGATGAATGGAAGAATTCACACTGTCCAATTTTGTACTAGCAATACATGTATAAATTCCAGTATCACTTGGTATCAAGTTTAAAATCATTAGACTTTCATTATTTGATGAAGTGATATTAAGACGATCACTATGTTCAAAAGCATCTTGAAGAGTTAAATTATCTCTGAAAGTCAGATACAATAAACGATGATGAAATGATTATTCTGAAGTTGCCATACCTCATTAACACAACAAGATGAATACCAAATTCATAGAAGGAGTTACTTGAATCAATTTCTTAAGCTATTCTAGTAATCCCAACTTAAATCTACACAACAATCGAAGGGACGATTTAATACAAGGTTAGTTTATGTACAGGAAATTGAGACTATTTACAGCATCTCAGATAGCCTTTGGCTTCTGGAAGTTTCTGGTAATATACATTATAAGTTACTGACTCAATAGTTTTAAAGTAAGATCATGACTATAAAACATGAAGGTGTTGGGTAATATTCTTGATGAGGTTATGGATGAACATTGTTGAAAAGTCTCATACTAGGACAAACTAACTATCATATCAAAGATGTATGGTGGTTAGCAGTGGAATCCAGGACTCACGTTTTGTCCTATTCGGGGCTCGTTATGTGGATGTACCTGCATCTCAGAGTTGATGTTCACTCTAAGACTCGAACCTAGTACCGTTCGCTTCAAACGACATCGCATTATCCACTCAGCTACTGAGTTCTGATAGCTACTTGCTTATGCAATCGGGTGAAGTTTAAATTCACTCGGTGTTGTTTTACTTGTATCTTCCTATCGAGGTTTAAGACTGCAATTGATCAGTCTGTTATTGGCATATGTACGTACTGTGCGTATACCTCGATATTGCCTTAATTCACAAGCTTTTTTAAGCAAAGATAGATAGTGGCTAGCAGTGGAATCCATTTTGACGCGCGTTTCGTCTTATTTAGGACTCGTCAGCTGGATGTACCCGGATTACAGATTTGTTGATGTTCACTTTGGAACTCGAACTCAGTACCATTCGCTCCGAACTCCATCGGGTTATCCACTTAGCTACTGAATTCAGATAACGGGATTGAGCTAACTTAACTATCATATCCTTATTTATCTTCATTTCCTATCTTAGGTTCATGGATACTGAAAACTATGAAAACTAACTAACTCCACATATTGTGTACACAGATTGGTACTAATTATCGGTAGGATTTGTGTTTCCCTACCCTGTTATGTTCAAGAATTAGTATTGTCAACCTATGCTGATTTATGAACTCTAAGTGAATAAGTCAATATGCTATCTATTGTTATATTTCTGAGTAAGAACTAGCCAATGGAATTCTTTACACACAAGTTTTATCTTATTTGGAACACATAAGAACTCATTTATCATTCAATCCTGAATAAAATAACACAAATCATTACAAGATACTTCAATTATAACAAATGTAATCTAATCAATAAAGATGAACAGAAAAGATCTAATATTATTTAATCATAATTGTTGAGATGCCTTCCGTTGGGGTTTCCCCGCGTGGGTTCGAATCTCATCCCCGTCGCCTAGTGTTATATTTTGAAGGTTTTTCTTGATATACTGCGTATAACATGAGCACTAGAACGTCAGAACCCTTCCAAGTCGCAATGACAAGACAGAAGACTAATGAGAGGAATACCATTCCTATACAGTGTCAGTTATAGTACAAAATTGTCAGGTATTTATAGTTTTTAGTATGAACGAAATCATCATTACAGTCTTCCAATCCACTATACAGGGAGTTATTAGCATTGTCCAATCGGGAGGCTACACGTAGGAATTCTAGAATATTCTTCCAAAAGGTGATTGGATAGGATATCTTCGGCTCCTTCTGAGCCTCCTACAACTTCCTCGAGTTCACCTGTGGTCCGACGTCACACCTCAAAAAGCCTTAGAAGAATCGAAGAGTTTCATCTAATCAAAATGTAATGGAACTTTGTAGAATACCAACATGGCATGCTATTATCGACCAACAGCATTAAGATACCTCTTTGTGGATTGATTGAATTCTAATGTTGATTTAACAAACGTTATTATCTATAACTATTCAATAAGCATTATTTTCTGTCTTCTTTTATCTTAATATCAGATGGGTTTTGTGGATATTACAATAATTTCAATGGTTAAGATCATGAGTCAGTTAAAGCTAGACCACCATGGAAAACCTGGAAGCGCACTGGATGGCTGCTTCATCCTATTGTGGAATTCTTCAGCAGTGCATATCCACGACCTCGCCCTCTGCGAGATCCAAACCCAGGACATAGTGGTTTCGCGCGTGAACACTTAACCAATATAAAGCATTCAAGCTTCTAGACATAACAATAATAATCTTCTATTTAAATGTATAGAACTTACTTTTTCCATATGATTGTTAGTTGATTTTCATGTATTGGATCCGTTTCAACTTTACAGGTTAAATGAATTTTAGATCCTTCTATAAGATATTTCATATTTATTCTCTTATTATTATTATAAGTAGTATTATAAGTAGTATTTGTATTGATAGTTTGTTCAATTAATGGACCAGATATAATACGGGTCCGTTTTCTAATGAATAATTTCCCTTTTGATTGAGATATACCAAATATATTTGATGCTTTACATATATATGTACCACTATGTGATAATTTAGCATGCTATATTGTTAAAATGAGAAAAGAAGTATTAGTGTAGAATTGTGGAGATTGAGATCATGAACTGATTGATATTAGATCAGTATTGAAAACATGAACTCATGACCTGGGTTCGAATTACATGGATGTGGAATGCTGAAGAGGAGTCTTACAATAAGACGAAATGGCCGGTCAATGCTTCGAGCTTTTTTAAAGGTTGTCTAACATCAATCAATTCATAATCTCAATGAAGAAGAGAAGTACTTGTATTAATGAAATTTAAATTAAAATATATCTGTATTATGTAATAGAAGTTTGATGTTAAGTAGTTGAAGTGAATAAGACATTTATGAAGCAAATCATCACAGTACATCATGAGGCAAGCGCTAACATGGAATCTTGGATGGAAACGGATGAGAGAACAGCCAAAGAACACATTTTATCGGGAATTGGAAGCAGACATAAAAGGGATGAATAGACACGAGATCGAATCCGCCAGGGAGCACCAGTTCCCTCAAGATTACAGGTACACCTTGCTGACGAGTGCCAAGTAGGACGAAACCCGGTTCCAGGGTTTCCTGTTGACTACCTCCAACTACCATCTAAATCTCAATACATAGTCCCAGCAGTGTCGAGTCACCTAGACTGGTGGCCACATTGCAACATGATCGATAACATTCGATCTGCACTAATAAGGACTAGACAAGCATGACATTGATCACCACCCAGTGATCAATCGATTGTGATCTGTATATATCTATATGACTTAATCGAACAATCAATGATTGTATAGACTAATACCACATTATCATTTATCCTTCAAGATTACTCTTATTAACCATCAATCTTATCAATGAACTTACAAAAATATGAAGATTACCATTCGTTTCTATGATGTAATCATCTTTCATAATATGATCACTTGTATTTAATTGTTTATTATTATGATACCAATGAATTATTGCATGAGGTGAACCAAATGTTTCACATGGTAATATCAATTGTTGTCCTTCAATCATATATTGTATACCATGGATCACATTAATAAATGCTGGTGGTTGATTCCATATATGAATATATGCATTGATAATATTAATACCATGGATATTATGAAGAATACATTGATAAACAGCTGAATCATGTACAGTTAAATTGTATAAATATAAAGCCTTGAATCAAAACAAACAAAAAAGAAAAATAGAAATTATTTGATAATAAATTGGTAAATTCAATAGTTGGACCACCATAGAAAACCTGGAAGCACTGGATGGTTGTTTCATCCTAGTATAGGATGCCTCAGCAGTGCGTATCCATGATCCTGGGCCCACCTCGCCAGATTCGAACCCAGGACTTATCGGTCTCCATAAAACCCCTTCTGAACATAAATTAGTAGTTGAAGATTTACAATTGATTGGTTAGTGGATGGTGATCAATGTTATGCATGTCAGATCTTTCTTAATATAGATCGAATCCTATCGAACAAATTATAATGTGATCACTAGTTTAAGTGACTCGATAATGCATGCATTGTGTTGAGATAAGATGGTGATTGGAATTAGGCGAAAGGAAAACTTGGACATAGGTTTCATGCTATTTAGCACTCATCAGCAAGGTATAATTATAATCTTGAGAGAACTGATACTCCGGATAACCCAGTAGTAACATGTCTGAATATGGAGTAGAACTTTATTTATTTCAACATATAAACATTGGGACAAAGAGGCACCAAATGGATATACGCCACATAAATCATTCGAATTGTATGAGAGCTGGGGTACTAACCGGGTGCCCAAACAGAAAAAAGTGGTTTTCCTAGGAGGCCACACCCCTAGAATTCAACCTAAAGGTCTGATCAATAAGACATTGTAGAGAAGTCAGGAGATGCAGTCTCATGGTAGCCGGTGAACAACAATAGGTTCATACGTCGTTTCTTCCCTTAGGATATTGAAGCCCATGTGCACCATTGGTTTGGAATCAGAGTTTTCCAACTGACCTAGGTGGACTCTCCGTGTCCACCAACATGGTTAAAGCGTCGGACAGTCGCTTTTCTTCCTCTCCATTTCATAAGCAATACCCCAGTGATGAGAAGGCAGTGAATAGGTCTTTCCTGGCAGTGAGTGTATGCACGTGTCCATGTGAGAGTATTTCGAGAGAGAGGGAGAGAGGGACAGCGGACTGTCCCCAACCTCGACTGTACCAGGGGATTTGGGGCATTATGTTTATTCATAGTCATGAATCTGACAATCTTTTAACAGTCAGATCAATAATACTGAAACTTGATAACTCTTTAATCACATTTACTGTAAACAAAAGAAGATTAGTGATTACTAACTATAAATTATTATCTCGCTATATATACAACATATTTTTATTGAAATATCGTGGATGCGAACTGCTGAAGAGTCCCATACTAGGACGAAACGGTCATCCAGAGATTCCAGGTTTTTCATCATAGTCTAGCTTCTATTGACTCATGAATTCAACTATTAAGATATCTATCATTATCTTAAATAAACTTCAAACTAGAAACATAATCATCTAATTATCAGATTGACATTGGAAAGTATTCATTTCATAATAAAGATAAATCAGTTTTCTTTATATTAATGTTAGGATCGATTCAGTAATGTATCATCATCTCATTTGTCACTTTTTTATTGGATATAACAATTATTATTATTATTGTCTGAATGAGAGAGGTAATACCTAACTCACACATCTTCGTCGTGCCTCCTGGATAGTCCCATGGATTAACATGAGTGGTAAACTGGATGACAGAGATAGGACTAATCACCCACTCGACCGACACCCATAAATGATAATGTGTGTTACAAAGAGAAAGGGCACAACTTTAACTGCAAAAACATCTATTTCGCCCCGGTAGTTGTGCCATGCTTCGATGTAACCGATTTTGTGGAAAGGCCTACTAGGCTTCACCAGGTTGATTTTAGCTAGAAGTGGGGGGGGGCAATGAAATCTTCGTATCAATCACCTAATCTACCTTTTATGATGATAATAATGTTTGTTAGTTTTTGTTTGTGCAACTATACAAAACTAAACAAACTACACATGGATTGTTATTCATTCGTATATATTGAAAGGACGAAAAGTGAATGTCTGGTGTTTTAACTGGGTTGGTTGATATGGAGGGTTCCCTATAAAAGAGTTAGAAAACCCTAATTCAGTGGTGCACATAGACTACAGGATCCGAATGGAACAAATAGTGTATAAACCCATTGTTGATCACCGGTCATCATAGGACTGTATCTCATGACGTTGTTCCACTGCCTTATGGATCAGACCTTAAAGTCAAAGTCTCGTGGTGTTTCCCCATAATAAAACCACCTGTTTTCGCATTAGGCAACCGGACGGTATTTTAACCTTTACACGAATCGAATGATGCAGTTTGATGCCTTCATGTAACAATATTTATGTGTTCAAATAAAATAAATTTATGTATAACAATGAAGTTAAGATTAATGACTTTTCATTGTTCAATTAAGCAATAAACAAACAAACAAACAAACAAAAGACAAGAATGTTACATTCGAATTTCTCATTTGTCTTTGCTCAACTCATCTTGTTATCATCATCATCATCATCATCAACTGATGAGTACCAATATTAAATGCCGAATTTCGGTGAAACTATAATTTATGGACAACGTTGGAGCGTCCAACTACTTACTATAGTTATTAGATTAGTGTAAAGAATTAGAATTATGATTTATACAGTTGATGATTAAGGTTAGAAATGAGATTTAGGATTTTCATTCCATAATAACATCAAACGATAATGCCAAAAACACTCTTTAACCAAATGGATGAATAAATTTCGCGCCAAAATTCAAGACTTAATATCTGAAATCCGATTGGTTCGTTCATCAATTATAGTCTCATTTAAGTTACATATTTAACTATATTGTTATAGAACTGGTGATGAACTGTTAATGAACATGGTGGATCTGATGCGGATGTGAAATCGCCAATCGGAAAAGCAAGAGCAACATATTTACAATTGAAGAAAATTTGGAACTCAAAACAACGGTCTGTCAGCCAACGCCAAAGTCAGAATTTTCAATACAAATGTCAAGACAGTTCTACTGTATTGGGGCTGAAACTTGGAGAACTATAAAAGCTATCATCCAGGACAGACAAGTGTTTATTAACAGTTGTCTACGTAAAATACTTCAGATCCATTGGCCGGACACTATTAGCAACAACCTACTGTGGGAGAGAACAAACCAGATTGTAGCGGGAGAAGAAATCAAGAAGAAGTTCTGGAAGTGGATAGGACAGACATTGAGGAAAGCACAAGACAATCCCTCACATGGAATCCTGGAGGCCAAAGAAGGAGAGGAATACCAAAGAACACATTACTCCGGGAAATGGAGATAGGCATGAGAAAAATGAACAAGAATTGGCTGGAACTAGAAAGAAAGGCCCAGGACAGAGTGGGTTTGAGAATGCTGTTTGGCGGTCTATGGTGCATTAGAAGTAACAGGCGTAAGGAAGTAATATTGTTATAGAAGAATAGATGACAGAAATGGACTTCATTCTAATGTATATTATTGCTATAAGTAATTTTAATCTCACAACTTAAGGGAAAACAGAGAGTGTATACACCTAGGACATCATGATCGATTCTGAGCCATGCTACACAAAGTCTCGAATTATTGAGATTACGATAGTCATGCGGACCCCAACCAAGTAGTCTGTATCTATAAACATGGCTCAGCTTAGAAGTTAGTGACTTCAATGACTGACTCAACGTTTTGGCTTAGACGCCCCCTAACTTGTTATATGTATGAATAGGGATCATTTATTCATAAATTAGCTTAGAATATTAAATTCTTGTGAATATTTCTTCAAGCTAATAATAATAGCGTACTGATTAATGTTTATGAGTAGTATATCGATTTATATACTCTAAAAGCAGAGAGAGAAAGTATATTTGAGAAAGCAAATATCCATTTATTGATTTTAATGATTTAAGTAATATTGACTGATCCTTTTTGATAATAATTGAAAAGTGGACTGGTTGATGTTCCCCGTAGTTTCCTACAGTTGAATCAGGTTCTGTAAGACTAAAAAAATGGAACAACAACGTATAAATCAGGATCATACCACGTATGAACTCCACAAACAGTTTGACACGTTTTTATTGTGTCTAACACTAGAATGTAGAACATGAGTTTTGTCTTGTTTGGTACTCATCAGTCGAATGATCTCCATCAAACAGTTGATATTCACACGTGAATATAACCATTGATAGGGAAGTCCTACTTACTGCCTTCTCGCGGCATTACTATTGTTTACGAAATTGAAAGGATGAAAAGTGAATGTTCAATGCTTTGGCCGGGTTGGTGGACACAGAGAGTCCACCTAAGGGAGTTGGAAAACCCTCATTCAAAATCGCTGGTGCACGTGGGCTCCAGGATCCTGAAGGAACAATTAGCGTATGGACCGATCGATGGTCAACGGCTACCATGGGACTGCATCTCCTTACGTTGCTCTATTGGCTTGTGGATTAGACCTTCATATCGAAGGTTCAGAGTGTGACCTCCTAAGTAAACCACCCGGGCAGTATCACAGTACACGCACAAATCAAGTAAGTCGTGTTGCTCATATATGATCGGTACCCCTTTGTATCAATATTTATGTGTTCAAATAAATAAACTGGAGTCCCTCCGGGGGCTACTGCCGGTCTAAAGCCCGGTTAAAGAAGAAGGTTTGGACATGGAGTTAGTGATCCCATCCCGTAGAAAACTAACTCGCTAAAAAAACGCTAACCAGAAAAAATTCTTTAAACACTAACCAGATATATCTGACCGAAGTGAGTATCTATCGTCCTAAACACTGATACGATATCCACTACGCTATTAAGTTCAGATAACTACCAAATAATTCAATATTTGTGATGTTTATTCAGAAATACTAAGCACTAACCAAATCAAAGGCAACTATGAGTTATTCACTCACTATCGATACTGTCATTTTATGAAGCCTAAACTATCAAAACTTCTTGATGGTTACCTCATAGTTACCTAATAATATACAATAGACTTTAGTAGAAATCATAGAATCTAATTCAATTCATTAAAATACTTACATTATTTCGACCAATTTTACGTAAACCATTTAAATATTTCTCAATTGGTTCACCATTCATTAACCAATTTAATGTTGCTGATGGTTTTGTAATTTCTTCATTGATACTACAACGTAGTACAATACTACTATTCTCTGGTAAAATAGCATTTTTAGGATATTCTGCAAAATGGGGTTTACCTAGGATAACAAAAACAAACAAAATGTATATTATACACATAAAACTGACAAGTTCACAAGTTAATCATAAAAAACATAAAAGCTGTTGTTTTACTTGTATCTTCCCAATTGTTGCTTAGGACTGTAATTGATCAGTCTCTTGTTGGAATATGTACAACCTGTGTGGATTGTTTCGATATTGCCTGAAGTCACAAGTTTTTTTAAGCGAAGATGGATAGTGGCTATGACTTTGCCCGACTGTATAAGCAGGTGGCTATCAAAATCAGTAGCTAAGTGGATAACCCGATGGAGTTCGGAGCGAATGGTACTGTGTTCGAGTTCCGGAGTGAACATCAGCAAATCTGGGATGCAGGTACATCCAGCTGACGAGTCCCATGTTGGACGAAACGCGCGTCAAACTGGATTCCACTGCTAGGCACTATCTATCTTTGCTTAAAAAAGCTTGTGAATTAAGGCAATATCGAGGTATATGCACAGTATGTGCATATGCCAATAACATACTAATCAATTGCAGTCTTAAACCTCGATGGTAAGATACAAGTAAAACAACACCGAGTGAATTTAAACTTCATCCGATTGCACAAGTAAGTGGCTACAGGACTCAGTAGCTAAATGTATACTGAGTTCGAGTCCCGGAGTGAACATCAACAAATTTGGGATGCAGATACATCCAGCTGACGAGTCCCATGTTGGACGAAATGTGCGTCAAACTGGATTCCACTGCTAACTACTACCCATCTTTTCTCTTAATTATATATAGGTCTTTGATGTTCTGTTCCTAAAATATGTGGTCCCAGAATATTCTTTTTGTTTTAATTGGATCTATGCCATATCAAACTTATAGTCGTTCATTTAAACTTCTAAATAAATTCACTTCCATAATGACGTTTTATTCCCATGTTACTATTTTAACTATGCGATATTATAGATTGCAAATAGTAGGTGATTAGAACTTAAGTACTTTAGAATGTACGGTTATGTATTATTGTTAAATAGATCCAAAGTATTCCTTGAAAACAAAACCCAAAGAGAGATGTTGAAAACATTACGAAAGATTTTTTTTCCCGGGTAGCACTGAATAGATGTTCCTGTGAAACAACAACAAAAAATTAAAGAGTCATGTATCACAATTCTGATTGAGTGATTACCTATCCTTCTGTCGAGTAGTGTGCTATTGATGTCGACAGACGCCAATAGCATGTATAATCAGTCGAAGTGAAATGTCTGGCGACAGAATGTTAAGAAGATCGAAGAGAAAAGAACGAGAACAAGAACAAAGAATAATTGATGTGGAAATGAAAGAACAATGAAGTGTAAGATGACTCATTGACATTTTGAATATGAATTATTCACCATATGGCTCTGTCATTTTGTATTCAAATACATTCAGTTGTCCCAGCTTATGTTCTCGTTTATTATATTGCTATTATGCTTCGTAGGGTTTCAGAACCTTTCAGAAGCCTAGAGGCCATCTGACATGCTATAAGTACCTTCAATTTTCTGTACATCAACTAACTTTGGAATAAAGCGTTCTTTACATATTTCACTCCTACTCTTTTGCATTCCAGTTGTTGTATAGACTTAGTCTGATGTTAATAGAAGACCTTAGAATAAAAATGAAGCAATAAACTTACTTTCAACAGTAACATTGAATATAACATGTGGATCATATGATGAGATCATATAATCCATATTAATTGTACTACATCGATAACTACCATGATTAATCATTTGAACTGTTGGAATGTATAATTCCATTCCATGATTTTTTAATTTGATTCCATACTTTTCTGGAAGCTATATAATCAATGGAAACGATATAAGAATATTGATATGATGATTAGTCATATTATAAGTATATATATAAATATAGTATAGAGGTTCATGAAGCCCACAAATGCCCTGGTACGACCGAGGGGTGGATAGAGTCAGTTTTCCTTCTTTTGAAATCTTCTCAGGTGGACATGTGTATGCAGCCAATGACAGGGAAATTCAATTCATTGCTTTCTCGCGGCCGGAATGTTGTCTACGAAATGGAGAGGACGAAAAGCGAATGTCCGGTGCTTTAATCGACTTAGTGGATGTGGAGGATCTATGTAGGGGAGTTGGAAAACCCTGATTCAGTGGTGAACATGAGTTCTAGGATCCATAGGGAACAAATGGTGTATGAATCAATTATTAGTGACCGGCTATCATGAACCTGTATCTCCTTACGTTACTCCACTGCCTTGTGGATTAGACCTTTAGGTCGAAGACTCTGGGTGTAGCCCTATAAGAAAAACCAACTACTTCTGTTTGGGCATCGGGGTAGTCTCATAGCTCATACTCAAATCAAGTGATTTGTGTGGCGCATGTTATTGGTGTCTCATTGTACCAATATTTATGTGTTCAAATAAATAAAATAGTTTAGTGAATTGACTGATCTCACTTAGGCCATCACTGTAAACTAGGAAGTGTTGGATAGTTGTATCGTCCTACTGTGTAAAATTAGCAGTATACATCCATGACTCTGGCGAAAATTGAAAGTAGGACATTCGGTCTTGCACTAAGTAAATGCCTTTGAGACCACTGAGTCAGCATGTGATATCTAACTACAATCATTCCAAGATACATCGTGGCTTTCTTTCATTACTTGAGATAGATAACTTTATCACACAAAACAGAAAGATAGATAGATATTTCACAGACTGAAATCATGAGTCTATCGAAGCTAGACCATCATGGCAAACATAGAAGCACTGGACGACCGTTTCGTCCGAGTATGGGACTCCTCAGCAGTGCGCATCCACGATAGATAGATAGATAGATGTGTGGATATATAGATAGATAGATAGATAGATAGATAGATAGATAGATAGATAGATAGATAGATAGATAGATAGATAGATAGATAGATAGATAGATAGATAGATAGATAGATAGATAGATAGATAGATAGATAGATAGATAGATAGATAGATAGATAGATAGATAGATAGATAGATAGATAGATAGATAGATAGATAGATAGATAGATAGATAGATAGATAGATAGATAGATAGATAGATAGATAGATAGATAGATAGATAGATAGATAGATAGATAGATAGATAGATAGATAGATAGATAGATAGATAGATAGATAGATAGATAGATAGATAGATAGATAGATAGATAGATAAATAGATAGATAGATAGATAGATAGATAGATAGATAGATAGATAGATAGATAGATAGATAGATAGATAGATAGATAGATAGATAGATAGATAGATAGATAGATAGATAGATAGATAGATAGATAGATAGATAGATAGATAGATAGATAGATAGATAGATAGATAGATAGATAGATAGATAGATAGATAGATAGATAGATAGATAGATAGATAGATAGATAGATAGATAGATAGATAGATAGATAGATAGATAGATAGATAGATAGATAGATAGATAGATAGATAGATAGATAGATAGATAGATAGATAGATAGATAGATAGATAGATAGATAGATAGATAGATAGATAGATAGATAGATAGATAGATAGATAGATAGATAGATAAATAGATAGATAGATAGATAGATAGATAGATAGATAGATAGATAGATAGATAGATAGATAGATAGATAGATAGATAGATAGATAGATAGATAGATAGATAGATAGATAGATAGATAGATAGATAGATAGATAGATAGATAGATAGATAGATAGATAGATAGATAGATAGATAGATAGATAGATAGATAGATAGATAGATAGATAGATAGATAGATAGATAGATAGATAGATAGATAGATAGATAGATAGATAGATAGATAGATAGATAGATAGATAGATAGATAGGTAGATAGATAGATAGATAGATAGATAGATAGATAGATAGATAGATAGATAGATAGATAGATAGATAGATAGATAGATAGATAGATAGATAGATAGATAGATAGATAGATAGATAGATAGATAGATAGATAGATAGATAGATAGATAGAGTATAATACAAACTTTTCTCTAATGGGAAGAACATTAACAAACTATCAGCTAAGGGAAGAAAATAAATCCAAACTGATTCCGTCATAAAAAACCGTCTGAAACCATCTTGAAAACACAAGATCTTTGTTTGTTTGTTTGTTTTAATCATTCAAATGATGTAATCAACAGAAATACCACTTATGTAATACTTAATTTAATGCTTTTATGATTTATTTGTACTATGGAATTATTAAATAAACGATAATGAAAAATGAAATCAATCATTCATTGATTTTTTTTCTTGTTACTATGTCGTTTTCATTATGTTAATAGTTTATAATTTGATGTAAGAATTTTTTCACCCTCACCCCCCACCCTACAGCCATGGAGGACAGAACTAAGTACCTTTAGTCTTATGTGCAAATATAATTTCTAGATCATGAGATGTGAAAATTCTACAGTTTTATATGAATCCCCTTATGAGATGGACTAGAGGAGTTAGGCATATCGGCTGATTCATTAATCTTGAGAGTCTTATCAGTCTTGATGCACTGGTGTCTGAAGAAATCTCTGTACTAATTCATAAAGCTCGACTGGCTTTTGCTGGTTTGATTCACTTATGGCATAGGCAAGTTTAGGATAAGTTTATTGTACGAAACATGATCACTAAAAAATAGAGGATGTCCATAAGTAATTAGCATTCGATCATGGGTTTGTTCAGAGCATTGTTCGTGTATTTTGAGACCAGTGAGTAAGCAATACCTGAGTTAGAAATAAGCTACTACGTAAAGATGAGGTAGTACATTTTCGTCAAACGAGTTGATTTGAACATGTATTACTTATGCCAAACAACCGTCTACATCGATAGGTCATGTTATCTGATGTAGGAGCAGGTTTACAGTTAAGAGTGGCCAAATCAAAAACCATCATCAGTTAATGAAGCGACTGACAGTTGATAGGTATGGACTATCCGGTTGTGGTCCATGTGATTATCACAACCAAAGTTTAGGGATTTTGAATGAGGTGGCTCAAAATCGTTCACAATGGCATATGTGCATCTATCCTTTGTCTTTCCCAGTGGTCTCAGCTTCCGAATTCTTTACAATGTTTTTGTTATTTCACTAATTTATAGATTCTTTTCTTGAATCGTATCTTTGATGGCTAGTATACACTATTATCACTAATACCGTCATTACCTTTACTACTATGGGATTCGCTCGCTATGTTATTAAGGTATCGAAACTTGAACTTGTATACACACGTATCAGGTGATATTTTTCCACTGACGGACTGATAAATTCCTCTATATTTAAAATAATCCAGTGCTCACTAATGATCATCTACAAGATGCACATCCAGGATTTCTGGTAAGAATTCTTAATCTGTGGGGCACAACCGTTTCACACTTGAGATCGTTATCCACCACAAGCAATGGATAAGGGTCGCTCAGTATCGCGAATCGATTGAAATTAAGCATGTACATCATTAGATGACGGCTCAGTAGTCTAGAGACTAGGCATTCTTGCACGATACCGAAAGTTGCACTAAATGAACGGGAAAATACTAGACATTGGATATATATTGAACATTAAGAAGGAGATGCGTTACTGATTCTCAGACATGTATCCAATCCTATCAAACATTAGATAAAATCATTGTAAGCAGAGATCGATTATGGCTAGCACTGGAATCAAGGACACACGTTTTGTCCTGTTTGAGACTCGTCAGATGAATGTACCTGTAACAGAGTTGGTATTCACTTCAAGATTTAAATCCAGTAACGTTGGCTTCAAACACCACAGTTTTATCTACTTGACTAATGAGTCTTGAATCGTTAGCGAAAAGATTCAAACAACCAATACAAATGAATTAAATACAATTTCATTGTTAAGAAAAAAACGACTTGAAGAAAGCATTAGTGTTTAAATAGAAATGTGGCATATCAACACTAGAATTCGGGCATAAACATTTGGCAAATTCCAAATAGGATGAGATGTTCATCTTGGAATCCATGGCTAGCAGAATATTAAGGACATTAACACTATTAGATGCCAACACAGTGGTCTAGAGGTTAAGCGTTAGCACGCGAAACTGATAAATCCTGGGTTCGAATCTCGCGAAGCAGGATCGTAGTTGCCCACTGCTGAGGAGTCCCAAACTAAAACGAAACAACCGTCTAGTTCATCCAGATTTTTAATAGTGCTCTATAACCTAGATAGACTGATGAATTCAATTATTAAACTAGTGGAGTTCAACCGGGTCATTTGTGAGATAGTAACTCATTGATAACAATGGTGGATATGTCGCTCAATTTCGTGGATCAGTTGAAGTTAGACATTAACATCATTGGATGCCGAGCGACTCCATGGTCTAAAGGTGAAGTATTCGCACGAGAGACTAATAGGTCGTGGTTTCTAACCCCGCGAGACGAGGTGGTAGGTGCGCATACCTGAAGAGTCCCACAATACGATGAAACGGCTATCCAGTACTTCCAAGTTTTCCATGGTGGTGTTCTAACTTCAATGAACTTATGATCTCTTAACTATTGAAATTATTAAATTATAATCACAAATAAAAATAAAACATAATTAACAAATCAATGATTATTATTGCCCCCAAATGCCCTGGTATGGTTGAGAGTGGGGAGAGTCCGCTCTCCCTCTCGAAATGCTTTCACACGGCCACGCGTATACAGCCTCTGCCAGGTAAGTCCTACTCATTGCCTTCTCGTGGCGGGGGTGTTGTTTACAAAAATGAGAGAACGAAAAGCGAATGTCCGGCGATTTAACCGGATTCCAAACCAATGGTGCACATGGGCTCCAGTATCCTGCGGGAACAAATGGCGTACGAACCAATCGTTAGTCACCGGCTCCCATGGGACTGCATCTCCTCACGATGCTCCACTGCCTTGTGGATCAGACCTTCAGGTAGAAGGCTCGGGGTGTGGTCCCCTAAGAAAACCACCTGCTTCGGTTTGGTCACCCGGTCAGTATCACAGCCCTCACACATATCGAATGAGATTTGTGTGACGCATATATATCTGGTGCCTCCTTGTACCAATATCTATGTGTTCAAATAAATAAAATAAATAAATAATAAACGATCAACTTTACCAATTTAACATCTTTATATTGATGCGAATCTCCATTTGAATCAATCTGATGTGCCATCATAAATTCCCAATGAATATTTGGTAAAGGATTACCATGTATTACGCATTTTATAGATAAAGACTCATTCAATAAAACAATTTGTTGTATAGATGAATGATAAAGGATACTTCTCTTTTCAATTTTAGTTAATTCTTTATTCATATGTTCATTTGTTGCTAAGGTATTTGAATCAAATAGAAGTTTTATATCTGGGCCAGTTTTCATAGTATGTAGAATTAAATGATTAATAACACATGTATAGGTAAGATTTCTTCTAGTGAATGAGTTTATATTGAATAAATTTAGATTACCTGTTGAAAGTAAAGAAGAAGTAAAGTAAATTATAGTTACTAGTATAGGGGTTGTGAAGATTACTAAGTTTTTGATTGAGATAATGAACCGATTGGTGTTAGACCACCTTTGGATGCCGGCTCAGTGGTCCAGTAGGTTAAGCGTTCGCGCGCGAGACTGAAGGACTTGGATTCCAATCCTATGAGCTGGATCGTGGATGCGAACTGCTGAGGAGTCCTACAATAGGACGAAACAACTGTCCAGTGCTTCCAGGTTTCCAAAGGTGGTGGTCTAACATCAATCGATTCATGATCTCAATCAATAAATTATAGTTATTATTCACAGTTATATAATATACCTTTACGGGCCAGGGTAATCTTACATTGGTTTTCAGGAGAACCTGACACCATCCAGACTTTCACGTGACAACCCAAAACAGTACAGCTCAAGCCCGCTTCACAGGAGAGCCAGACACTACTCATGCTTACATTTTATGAACCGAGTAGTACAGCTCAATCCCGCTTTACGGGAGAACCAGACACCGTATAAGCTTTAACGTTACAATCTGAATAGTACAGCTCAATCCTGTGGTGCAACCACACACACTCTGGTGGACCAAAAGCAAATTATAATGATACTTTATAGATAATAGAAAGTAGTTTGAAGTTATGAAGTAGACTTACTAAACATTGTAAGACGACTATGTCAAATTTTTCGACGATGCTTCCTAGATGCGCTGATAAGGACGAGGGTGGGAAAAGTAAGCTCTCTCTCTCTCTCTCTCTCGAAATGCTCTCACACACTCACTGACAAGGAAGTCCTACTAAATGCTTTCTCGCGGCGGTGTTGTTTACGAAACTGAAAGGATGAAAAGCGAATGTCCGATGCTTAGACGAGGTTAGTGGACATGGAGGATTCTTGTAGTTGAGTTGGAAAAATTTTGATTCAAAATAAATGGTGTACATGGGCCCTAGCATCTACAGGGAACAAATGGTGTATGAAAGAGTTGTTGACCACCGGCTCTACTCTGTCGTGGATTACACCTATAGGTGAAAATCTTGGGGTGTGGTCTCCTAAGAAAACCACTTGCTTCGGTTTTGGCACCTGGGTAGTATCCTCCTTGTAGCAATGTTTATGTGTTTAAATAAATAACTTTTCAATAATATGTCTTAATCAAAATATGATGACAGTCAACTTACATTTGGATCAGTGATAGAATCTCACTTATCAATAGTCTACTTGAAGTTTGTATTGATGATGTTGTTCAGAAGAACAAAGAACTTTCATGACTAAACCATCCAGCTCAGAGAATAAAACTCCATATAAGTTTATAAATTAAGTCTGTTCATGAATGAATACCGTTCGCTTCAAACGCCATCGCCTGATCCACAAGCCACGTGCCTGTGCATTAAAGTAAAGTTTAAATTCACTTGGAATTGTTTACTTGAATCTCCCCATGGATGTTTAGGGCTGCAATTGATCAGGTACATCCAGCTAACGAGTCCCAAATAGGAAAAAACGCGTGTCATGTATTCCACTGTTGGGCACTATCCATTTTTGCTTATTATCATTCTGTAGAATTTCAGGTTCAATATTATGTACATTTCAGTGGCCAAAATCATCTCTTCTCGAAAATTGATCTTCTATGATCAGCTTATTTCCACTGTTTTGGTATTCATCTAGAATTGCTGTTATGATGTAGTAAGTTTAGACGACTCATGTTTTGCCAAAATCTACACTGATGATGACTGACTGTAAAACTTGAGCAGTTATTCACTTAGATAATTTGCAAAAATACTGTCAATCATGATAACTTTGATGTACATTTTATTCTTTTCACATCCAAAATTAGAACTGTATACTATCAGAATGGATGCTTGTGGAGACTAGTAATTTTAATAGTTGAATACATGAAAGTACAAGAAGACCGTTTCGTTCTAGTATAGGATTCCTGAGCAGTATACATCCACGATCATGCATGCGGGACTCAAACCCATGACTTTCAATAGCTTACGTGCTCGCGCGTGAGACCGAAGTCACTGGGTTCGTGTTCCGTGAGTGGAATCGTGGATGTGCATTGACGAGGAAACCTATAATGGGACGAAACGTCTGCCCACTGCTTCCAGGTTGTCTATGGTGGTCTAGATTAGATTGACTCAGCTATTGAAAAAAGAACTGTATACATTTATTCAGTAAATACTGTATCATCGTCTTTCGAAACCATAATAGAAACTTGGCTTCACTCTTCTTTCCTCACACATTAAGGGTTAAGTTAAGAAATAACATTCAGGGAACTGTATTAAGCGTTCTTCTAGTTTCTTTATAAAATAGCCTGACTTATTTAGTAGCCATGCTAAAATTACTACTTGTTTAGAAAATGAAAATCTACTCAATTTAACAAGTGGTCTTTCTTGATGTGAAATAAAACTCAGCCTGGGGCCCCTCTGGGGCTACTGCCGGTCCCAAGTCCGGATAAGGGAGGAGGGTTAGGCATGGGGTCGGCAACCCCATTCCATAGAAAGAAATCTTGCCAAAAAACCCCAACCAGAAGTATGTGAAATAGATATTAGAATGTTTATTGTTTCCTATTTAGTATTCGTCAGATAAATATAGTCACTTTCCAATCTTCATAAGCTCTTTAGGATTCGAACTCAGCACATGTTTACTCTAAACACCAATGAACTATCAAAGTCAAATTGCTACTATCCAATTGATAGAATGTTTTGTCTTTACTTTATTAACCAATTAATCTCAATTGTCAGTACACGGTTGTGGAGATTATTAAGTTATTGGTTGTGATCTTGAACCAATTGATGTTAGACCACCACTGAAAATCTGGAAGCAGTAGATGACTGTTTCGCCATATTATGGGACTCCTACTTGACAGTGCACATACAAGATCCCGTTCGCCGGATTCGAACCCAAGGCCTTCAGTCTCGCGCACAAACGCCTAACCTACTAGACCACTAAGCCGGCCGGTATCCAATGCTATTAATGCCTAACTTCAAACAATCCACGAAATTACGCCACCATGTTCCATTGTACTGAGATAGATAATTGTCTCTACCTAACACGGATTAGTTGCACTAATGGTCTAACATCATAATCTCGATTAGCTCATTTACTGAACAAGTATATACCTTCGAAATAATCAACTGATGGATCGATCACATTGTGTTAATAATCATAACAATAATGAACCTAAGAATAGAATACTAAGATACATAGGCAGGTAAGTCATTCATGATTAAGTCAAATGAAGAATTGAAAAGCTTACAAAAACTAAATAGTCGAATTACGTGTATATGTGTGTGATATTTTTGTTTGTTTCTTCAATTCAGATGTCTTTCTTTCTATTTCCCATGTTACCTGGTGTTTCCCTCTTGACTCTCCCTTTCCCCCCCTCTCTCTCCTCATCTCTTATCCTAGTGACAAGAGATTAATTAAACTAATTGATTGAGTAAATTATGTTCTTTATATGAATACAAAATGGATATTCTATACATTAGCCTTCATCATCATTCTTGTTAGTTGTATACTATCCATAATGAACTATTATACATTCTCTTATATATATGTTGTTAAACATTTAGAGGAGAAAAAAGAAAACCAAATTAGTGAAATGATTCCCTCTTGAATGTAAGAGATGCAACATAATGGATGATTGAGTTTTCTAATGTTCTAATCTATATATATACATATATATACAAACACTCATAAATTTGATCAAGAATGAGTAAGTATCTGTAGTTCAGGTGGATGATTTTTGATGTCGTTTTGTTCTCTTACCTGGATGGTTTCATCGTGAAGTTTTCATCGTTCTTCTAAACAAAATCATCGGCACAAACTTGATGTAGAAGTGAAGTGTTCAAAGTTTGTGCTGATGTTGCCATTCAGTAGAAAGCTCCACGATTAAATCATACAGCTTAGAGAACAAAATCCTATCAAAATGAGTATGTATCATTTGATGAAGATCAATTAATTTTAATAGTTGGGATCATGAAATTAGACGACCATAGAAAACTTGGAAGCACTGGATTAACCGTTTCGTCTTATTGTGGGACTTCTTAGCAGTGCACATCCAAGATTCGAACCTAAGACCTAACAGTCTCGTTCGCGAACACTTAACCTTAAGACTACTGAGCCAGCTGGAATCCAACGGTGTTAATGTCAATCTCTTAGATGTATACCTTATCTCACTAGTTAGTCTTTACAAAAAATAATATAATTTCGTATGTATATAAAATGTACTTGGCACTTAAAGAAGGGACTATTTGATTTATCAGTTGCCAACCAATGAAAACAGGAACCAACCCGAGTTCTTTTACAAGGTACTTGACTATTTGATGATACAATGCTGTTTAATAAAATGTTGGGTTTTAGATGTGACTGACTATTAACAAAAAATTTAAGAAGATTAAAAAATGGGTTCGGAAGTGTAATCTACTGTTGTCGTTACAGATGGATTTCCTTCCTGAATTTATGATGAGTATACTCTGGTATCCCAACTGTTGCTGCTACCTCACCCTACATTTAATTTGTGTGAAGGATGGAATACTGTTCGGTTGCCCAAACTGAAGCAGTTGATTTTCTCAGGGAGCCATACCCCGAGACTTTCATCAAAAGTCTGATCCACAACATAATCCCATGGTATCTAGAGACCAACAATAGGTTCATATGAATCTTTAGGATCCTAGAGTCTATGGGAACCATTGGTTTACAATCCAGATTATTCAACTTCTCTATGTTGATTCTGTAAATCCATCAAGCCGGTTAAAGCATTGGACATTCGCTATTTGTCCTCTCAATTTCATAAACACTCTCACCACGAAAAGGTAGTGAGTAGGATTTCTATGTCACTGTCTGTGGATCTGATGCAGATGTGAAAGCGTGGATCGGCAAAGCAAGAGCAGCATATTTACAATTGAAGAACATCTGAAACTCAAAACAAAGGTCTGTCAACCAACACCAAAGTCAGGATTTTCAATACAAATGTCAAGACAGTTCTACTGTGTGGGGTGGAAACTTGGAGAACTACGAAATCCATCATCCAGAAGATACAGGTGTTTATTAACAGTTGTCTACGCAAAATACTTCAGATCTGTTGGCCGGACACTATTAGCGACAATCTACTGTGGGAGAGAACAAACCAGATTGTAGCGGAGGAAGAAATCAGGAAGAAGTGCTGGAAGTGGATAAGATACACATTGAGGAAATCATCCAACTGCGTCACAAGGAAAGCCCTCACATGGAATCCTGGAGGCCAAAGGAGGAGAGGAACACCAAAGAACACATTACGTTGGGAAATGGAGATAGACATGAGAAAAATGAACAAGAATTGGATGGAATTAGAAAAGAAGACCCAGGACCGAGTGGATTTGAGAATGGTGTTTGGTGGCCTATGCTCCATTAGGAGTAACAGGCGTAAGTAAGTAAGTAACTCTTGAATTACAATAAAACAGCTGTCTAGTTCTCCTTGATCTTTACTGATTGTATAACTAAAATCAATGAATGATGTATCATATGCTAAATAGATGAACGGTAACTAATCATTATTTAAAGACTCTTTAAATATCTTCACAAGTTGAATGTCTATAAAAAGAGAGATTTTGTAAAAATGTTACATGTTTTGGAGATGAGAACTGTCTACTATAATCTTATTCTACAACTGAAGATACCTAACTTCGAAAACGAATGAAAATATACTAGTTGGCTACATTTCTTCTTTGCATATTTAAAAGTACAACTTCTGGTGTAGATGAAGTTTATTTCTTTTTGATTGAGATCATAAAATGATTAATGTTAGACCACCATTGAAAACCTGGAAGCACTGGATGATCGTTTCGTCTTATTGTGGGATTTCTCGGCAGTGCGCATCGACGATCCCGCTCGCGGTTAAACATTAACACCGTTGGATGCCGTTTTCTAGAGGTTAAGTGTTCATTAGCGAGACCGATAGGTTCTAGGTTCGAATCTAGCAGGGCGGGGTCATGGGTGTTTGCCCTGTTGAGTAGTCCCATACTAGAACGTAACGACCATTCAATGCTTTCATGTTTTCAATGGTGGTCAATGGTGGTCAACTCATGAATTCAACTATGAAACTGATTAGATACATAATTTTACAATATAGAAAGTTACTATCACAGTAATCAATAGGAACGAAGTACATACATATAAACGAAGTGTATACACGTGTGTATGTATGTGTGTGTGTGTAAAGCAAGACAGAAAGCCATTGGAATGTAACAATTATATAAGTGATATAACAAGAGTATATTAGTAAAAAGACATCACATAACTGTAATTGAATTAGTTTCATTACAGGAAACAGAAAGTATCTAAACTTGAAATCAAGTCATGTTGTTTCTTTATATCTGTCTTATAACTCTATATAGGAAACCGGAAGAATGTATTACACTAGTTTGATTTCTTTGCTAATAAGGGTAATAGTATAGAGATAATTGTTGCTTTCTGTTTATTTTACATAAACTACTATGACAACTTATGAAGGAATGAATGTAAGATAAGTATTGTCAATGTAGTAGTACCCCTTCCCTCCCCCCCCCTTGTTCTTAATTGTCTCAATGCATTCTATCAATCTCTCTAAATACATAAATATGGAGTGTATGTATTAGAGTTAATAAGAAAGTTTCACGTAGAACTTCTTAGGATTTATTTGATTTCTGTTGTCAAGTTTTCTTTTCCCATTTTTTTCCTCTTTTGTTTTAAAAAAGGGGGAAGAAAAAGAGAAAGAAGTAACTCAGAAGAAATAAGTCATCACATAGTGTATATACTCTGTTGAAATACGTACAGTTGGTTTTGATCGAGTTTTGTTCTCTGAGCTGGATGGTTTAGTCATGGAGCTTTCATCGTTCTTCTAGACGACATCATCAACACAAACTTCTATCTGAAGTCGTTCAGAAAAACAATGAAAGCTCCACGACCAAGCCATTCAGCTCAGAGAACGAAACTCAATCAAAATCATCCACCTGAGCTACAAATCTTCTCCACATACAGTTGGACAATGTTCTCGTTTCTATAGTGTTGTTCCAATCAGATACAAAAAGAAACTTGATAAATATCCTGATTCATTGTGCTAGAATGATTTGCTTGGATGATATGATTGTAACTGAATTGGTTAATATTTGTAACATGCTTAATAGGAATGGATACCGAATAAAATTCATTGACAAACATATGAAAGAGATGAAAAGAAGGGCAAGGGTACCTACTGTTCCGTTCAGTCATTCAGTCAGTTAAAACGTAGAACCAGGCACATAAATGCATCAGTCCAAGTTGCCACACCTCATTAGCATAGCAAGACGAACACTGGATTCATAGAAGCAGTTAACTCAATGGTGTAATATATGAATTAAGCAATAGATTGTATAGGAAAGAAATCCTAACGAGAGAGAGACAGGGAGGGAGAAAGCAAGATTGAAACCGAATTCTGTAAAAGTCTGACATCTAATTTAGAAGATAGGCAAATATTAGGTACAAGAAATGTTTCATAGTGATAATGCTCTGATGTATACCATATATTTTTTTCAGACCACATTGACAATTGAATTGGCCCCCAAATGCTCTGATACAGCCGAGAGTGGGGACAGTTAGCTGTCCCTTTCAATATTCTCTCACGTGGACACGTGCATACAACCAGTTACAGGGACGTCCTACTCACTTCATTCTCGTCACTCGGGTGTTGTTTACCCGGTGCTTTAACCGGGTTGGTGAGTACGGAGGGTCCATCTATGTGAGTTGGTGTACATGAGTTCTCCATGATGATCTCGCTTCAATTGACTCATAATCTCAACTATTAAAATTACTATAATATTCACAAAACCCCTTCTGATCAATATGCATTTCATTGGAATAGAACTTAACTAAACAAAACATACACAGATAAGATCATCATGGAATATAATAGAAATTCATCATCACTTACCATCATCATCAATAATATGATTACGATCTTCATGTATAAAATTTATTGAACCATCTTCATCATCTTTGATCATCCATTGGATTTTAGCAGTTGGTATACTTTTTGTTGCGGAACAATTCAAGATTTTGGTTTCATTCGGTTTTATATGAATTAGTTTTGGATTAAGATCTTGAAATGTACCAATTCCTATGAAAAGATATATATATATTGTGAAGATTGTAGCAACTTTAATAGTTGTATTCATGACTTGATCTAAGCTAGAGTACCATTGAAAGTATGGAAGTACTGGATGACCGTTTCATTCTATTATGGAGCTTCTAAGCAGTGTATATCTACGATCTCAAACTCGAGACACGAATCCAGGAATTTCGGTCTTGCACGCAAACTATTAAATTCTAGACCACTGAACCAGCATTCAACGATTGAAGTAAGACATTCGCGCGAGAGATCGAAGGTCATATGTTCGAGTCCTGTTTGTGCGATTGTCGGTGTGCACTACTCAGAAGCTTCATACTAGGATGAAACAGAAATCCAGTGCTTCCAGGTTTTCAGGTGTTCTAGCATCAATCGATTCATGATCTCAATCAACAACATTGCTATACCACAACATCAGTAGCAAAAGAATTAAAATGATATTAGTATTAATATTAATTAAAAGGATTAAATATCACAAGTATTTCCAGTTGAAGAATACCGAATAGGACGAAATGTACTCCCTGAAGTGTACTACCAGCCTCTATTTAACTCTGTTTAAAATACTTGTTATCTGACAGTGATGTCAAGGTGATTCTCACTAGATGCATGTATGCCGAAAGAGACCGATCAGTTTCAGTCCATAGTATCAAGAACGAGAATATTCAAACAACCTTTACAAATGTATTAAAATTCACCCTGTTAAACACACTAGTGGTTATCTGGACCCGGTAATTAAGTAGATAACATAGTGATATTTAAAATGAAGGTTACTGTATTCGATTCCCAGTGTGAACATTAACACTAAGGTGCAGATGCATCACCTCATCTTTAATTCCATAGCTACTCATAATCCAAAACTGCTAAATTGCAGAATACGGCTCAAATAGAAGGAATAAAGTATTCAGTAATGTTGAATCCTATAAATAAATAGAAGATAAATAGTGAACGTATCCGTACTGTGGTTGATTCTGGATAATGTTACCCAACGTCTACAGTCCCCTAACACATCTATCGTGTGGAAACAAACTAGGTATTCTGTACATAACAACATACTTTAGTTCATTAGTTTATGATTTCATGGACTAATGGGTTGCCTTTAGCATTTATTTTTCAGTGTACCACTACTTCCGTGAACAATGATCGTCAAGGTAACAAGTGATGTAGCATACATACATACAAACATGGTTTTCAACGTAACCCCAAGTGATGAATACAACTTATAAATGAGACCAGTATCTAAATCATTTATGATAAAAGGCTAAACCTTTTGATAAACAATGATTTTCCCATCTATTTAAGGTTAAAGATTGAAACATGATTACGTCACTTAAGATTTTGTTATTTTATTGATCCGATATCATTAATACTAAAAGTACACTGTAGATAATGATGATGATGTCATGAAGCTTTAAAACAATTGGAATATAAAACTTTTATATTAAAGTACACAGAAACGAACTTTTTGATAGCCCTATCAATGATTACATCATTTAAAACATTAATAGTATAAAGATGAAAGTTAAACGATCACACTATATCTCGATTGAACCTAGACCACCATGGCAAAGCGGGAAGCACTGGACGCGGTTTCGTCCTATCGTGGGACTTCTTACTAGTGAGTATCCATGATCTCACCTTGCGAGATTTGAACTCAGGACCTATTGATCTCGCGCGCGGACGCTTAACCTCTAGACCACTGAGCCGATCGGCATCCAACGGTGTTAATGTATAATTTCAACTAATCCACGAAGTCGTGCCACTGTCTACCATTGTCGTCAGTGAGTTACTATCTCACAACAGACCCAATTGAACTCCACTAGTCATGGCTTCTCAGTAGAACGCCAGGAATTACCTCTTGGAGTCTGTCACTAGTAAGTATATGATGATAGTAATCGGAGGTAGATTTTGTAGATATTTTAGTAATTTAATAGTTGAATTCACTAGTCAATTGAAGGTAGATCATGTATGGATGTTTATGATACTTCTTCATTTTACATATAATTTATACCATGGAAAATTAACAGAAAATGTGAAAACACTGGATAGTTTTATTGAAATCAGAAATCGATTAGTGTTAGATCATCAATGGAAATCTAGAAGCACTAGACGGACGTTTCGTTCTTGTATGGGACTCTTCACTAGTGCGTAGACGCGATACTGAGTGAGGAATTTGGACACAAGAAATTTAGTCTCACATGAACGCTTAAACTCTAGACCACTGAATCGGCATCTGAAGGTGTTAATGTCTAACTTTAATTGGTCATCGACATAGCACGATTATCTTCTATTGTCATCGGTTGGTAATTAGTTCATGCCCCACACGGTTGAATTCCACTGGTCATAGCTTCTTACTAGAACTCCGAGAATTACTTCTCAAAGCTAGTCACTAGTGAGCATATGAAAGTTTGAAGTTTGAAGTTGTGAAGATCCTTAAATTTCATTGAAATTATGAACTGTTAAATGTTAGACTACCGTCAAAAACTTAGAAGCACTGAACGGACGTTTCATTCTAGTAGGAAACTCCTCAGTAGAGCATATTCATGATCCTTCAGGCGTGATTCCTTAATAGTATGAGGTCATATTAATAAGTGATTATTTCAATGCAGGTTAACTTATTGAATCTATTGTATGGTTAATTAATAGATGACCTAAGCCTTGACAATTTACAGTTTGATTTAGGAAATCCTCAGAAAATCCATGAAATAGTGATGAGAGATTATACAGACGACTATTAGACAGTAGATCGAGAGTCTCGTTGGAAGTTGTTAAGAAAGAAAGATAATATGTATAAAGATGGTATTAAACATATCCAGTCTCTTGTAATTCTTAGTCCTTAGTACACTATATAGGTGATTTGTGATAAACAAGTTACCTAAAGAATCTAGTTTCAAAGGATTTCCAAAGATGTTCTTTTGAACAACAGATACGGAAATCAGATAAATATTTTGTTATTGATCAAAAGTACTGAGAAATGGATTAAAACTTAGGCTTTCTGATAGAGTTTTGTTCTCTGAGATGAATGGTTTAACTTTAGAGCTTTCATTGTTCTTCTGAACGATATCATCGGCACAAATTTCAGGTAGAAAGCTTTCTGTGATGCATGTACATTCAGCTGATGAGTCCCAAGTAAGACGAAACGCTCATCCTGAATTCTATTGCTAGCCACTAACTATCTTTTCTTTTATGACATCGGTTTTTTTTATAATTCACGGAAGAAAAAGAAGAAGAAGTTAGATGTTGGTTGGAGGTAGTCAACAGGAAACTCTGGACCCGGGTTTCGTCCTACTTGGCACTCGTCAGCAACGCGTACCTGTAATCTTGAGGGAACTGATGCTCCCTGGCGGATTCGATCTCGTGTCACCCAGCTTCACAGTCAGAGACGTTACCATTGAGCTATCCGAGCCGTGACTAACCTTGTAGGACTGAGATGTAATCACAATTGATTGATCACTGGGTGGTGATCAATCTCATGCTTGTCTAGTCCTTATTAGTGCAGATCGAATGCAGTGTCGAGTCACCTAGACTGGTGGCCACATTGCAACATGATCGATAGCATTCGTTCTGCACCAATAAGGACTAGACAAGCATGAGATTGATCACCACCGAGTGATCAATCAATTGTGAAGAAGAAGAAGTACATATTATGTCATAATAAGCTATTATACAATCAACTAATTAAAACTTACTTGCCACTTCTAATTTCAATGGAATTGATAAAGCTTTACCAAATGGATTAATAGCAATACATTGATATAATCCAGCTATCAAATGATTTGATATTCGTTGAATACCAAAATACCATAAACCTAATTCATCCATAGAATGTAAATGATATGAATCATTGGAATGTGTTAATTTCTTTGATAACATTGTATTGTATGGCTTAATCCAATTGGCTTGTTTTCCATTCAATGTCCAATAATACCTAATCAATTATAAAGAAAAAGGGGTAAAACTAGAAATATCTAAGATAGATTAAAAGAAAAAAAGATGTGTTGAACATAGTTCAGTTCTATTGTGTAAACATTATGTCGATCGGAACTGCATTCTTTCGATTCAGCACTGAAACGTTTTAGATTTTTGTTTTTGTCTTGTGAATATACAATGGTTGAAAGTTAAGATGATGGTTGGAGATAGTCAACAGGAGATCCTGGATCTAGGTTTCGTGCTACTTGACATTCGTCAATAAGGTGACGTGTACCTGTAATCTCGAGGGAACTGATGCTCCTCGACATATTCGATTTCACGTCACACAGCTTCACAATCAGAGATGTTACCACTGAGCTATTCGATCCGTGACCGACCTCCTGTATGACTGAGATGTATTTAAAATTGATTATTCACTGGGTGGTGATCAATGTCATGTGTGTCTGGTCTTTCTTAGTGTAACTTTGGGATCCATTTATGGACCAATACTAAACGTATATTTCTATTGTAACTTAACTATGCATATTCATATTTCGCTTATTATAAGCTTTACTTTGACTTATGAACCATTATTATACGTCTTACCATTCTTGAGTTATAACCAGTCTATGAATGACTACCTCCCTCATTCACAGTCACATCTAGATAATTTTTGTACAAATGTTGTTTCCTATTTTATTGGTACGATGTGATCTGTCTGGTTGGTTTGTAAACCCGGTATGCTTGAAATAAATGATTCATATCACAGAGGCTGAGACTGGTGTTCTGGACTTAACTGGCTGGGCTAGGCGGAAAGCAGGACCAATCAGAACTCTAGACTGCTCGCATGCGTTTACGTATCTTTGATCCGATTGATAAGCCAATGCCCTCTAATAGGCGGTCACAAGTTATAACATTGAGATCATGAATTTATTGATGTTAGACCATCATTGAAAACCTGGAAGCACTAGACGCCCGTTTTGTCCTATTGTAGGACTCCTCAGCAGTACGTATCCATGATCTCGCCTTGCTGGATTCGAAACCAAGGCCTTCATGATCACATGTAATATATAACATAAATTTAAATGTTTAATAGTTTCGAGAGAGAAAAACAAGCAAACAAACGAACAATTGAACAATATGGCGGTCTGTTCACATTTATAAATGCCGCTTAACTATTTCTAATCTTCATTTATTTCAACTCATTAATAATGTCAATTAATTGCAGAATATTGTATTTTGCATGTTATAAAAAAGGCGGGAGCTTTCAACTGATGTCAAAGTGAGTGAGTGAGTTAGTTAGTAGTATAGTTAGTAGTATAATTGTATTGAAATCATTCATTAATGTATTTGATATCTTTACTTTTCTTATTCAATTCATCATAGTCATAAAACAAAAACAGTTCATCAAACTATTGGAATAGAATATAAAGCGGATAATGATAAATGACATTTGATCAGTTCTAATAATAATCATAATCATAATCAGAGATTACGTTTTTACCTACATATCTATTTTGGATAGTTACAAGACAGGAATTTCGCAGATTGTATATTATATACCGTTGAGTTCCTTACTTTAATCACATATACATACTACTGAATAATACTATTAATAGTAGTAGTAGGAGGAGGAGGAGGGGGAGGAGGGGGAGTCGTAGTAACCAGACAGAGTATCAGGGGAATAAATTAATAGATAGTTCAGTATATAGTAAATATATATTAGTTAAATGGTATTACTTGTTTTCTTTTGTTAAATCTATTCTCTTAAATGTTATGTATGTCAAATTGACTAAAATATCATAGAATTTCTCAATTATAATAATGAATCATGTTTAATTTTGCATGTGTTCACGAATCCTCGTGGTATGGCCGAGGGTGGGGAAAGTTCGCGCTCTCTCGCTCTCTCTCTTGAAATGCTTTCACATGGACAAGAGTGTATGTTTACTATCAAGGTAGTCCTACTTACTAACATCTTGCTGCCGGAATGTTGTTTACAAAATTGAGAGGACCGGGTTGGTGGATATGGAGAAGCCATCTAGGGTGAGTTGGAAAATTTTAATTTCAAACCAATGGTGCATATTAGCTCGAACAAAAAGTATATGAACCTGTTGTTGGTCATCGGCTACTACATTTCCACAAGTTTTTCCACTACATTGTGAGTCAGACATTCAGGTCATATTTCGGCCCCATCAATTGGATGTACCTGGATCTCAAATTTGATGTTCACTCTTTGCTTAGAATGCTTTTGAATTAGGTAATATAGAGACAGTATGCACATAAGCCAATAAGAGACTGATCAATTGCCATCCTAAACAACATTGGGAATATTCAAAACAAACAATACCAAGTTGAATTTATGAGTGTTATTAGTTTGTAAGGTGAAAAATGAAATAAAGCCTCCTCAGTGGCTTATTTAATCGTAGATTTGAAATTCAAGCTGTTTATTATGATTAAACTCACTGGATAATAGTACTATCACTCATACAAGCGGGATTCGAAATCAAATATCTAACTGACTGGACTAGATATTAGGATTCTTGAAATTTCGAACAAAGTTTTTTTGAATTATATCATGGACGGATTGATGTTGGACCACTATTGGAAACCTGAAGGCACTGGATGGCTGTTTCGTCCTATTGTGAGACTCCTCATCAGTGCGCATCTACGATCCCGCTTCACGAGATTCGAACCCAGGATCTATCAGTCTCACGCCAAAATCCATGACCTGTTATCGTAAATCTGACTGGTTCGTTCATAAATTATAGTTTTCCTCTAAAAATCATTGAGATTGATAACAAATATCTTCACAGTTGAACTCACGAGTCGATTTAAGCTAGACCACCACTGAACACCTAGAATCGCCATATAACTTATAATTATAGAGCAACTTGTAATACCAAGCCCTAATCCTTGTTCGTTGGTTTACTACAACAAATAATTCAAGAAGTCATAGATCATCAAATCTGTCTCTATGTAATTTTAATACTTCAAATTAGTTACTAATTTATACCTAAATACCTTATGAAAAAGAATCAAACATGGGTTCGAATCCCTCGGATGTGCACTGCTGAGGAGTCTCACAATAGGGTGAAACGGCCATTTAGTGCTTCCAGATTTTCAGTGGCGGTCTGATATTAGTCGGCTCATGATCTCAATCAACAAATTAATAATTCATTGAGAAGAAAATTGTCCTTCCAACAAAATCATTTGCTTATAAATAGGGATTTCAATCAGAATGAGGATTTGTGCAGATCGTAGTCATATTAATAGTTGAATCCGTGAATTGACTTAATTTAGACCACAACTGAAAACATGGAAACACTGGACAACCATTTCTTCTTAGTATGAATCTTCTCAGTAGTGCATATCCACGATCTCGAACCAAAGAGACTCTAATCCAAGACCTTCTGGTCTCATGCGCGCACGCTCAACTTCTAGACCAATGAACTGGCCTCCAATAGTGTTAATGTCTAAATTCAATTAATTCATGATCATGCCTAACCCTTCATCCATTAGCACAATCGGATGTCGGCTCAGTGATCTAGAAGATAAGCGTTAGCGCGTGTGACAAATGGTCTTGGGTTCGAGCCCTACATGAAGAATGGTGGATGTGAACTACTGAGGAGTCCCATACAAAGACGAAACGGTCATTAAGCGCTTTCAAGTTTAAATACATACATTATATTTATCTTGACAATAGTTGCATAGTTGATAAAATCAATTCATTGTAACCTTCATGGAACCTTACAAATCCTATTAGCTAACGTTTATTATTAGAAATTCAAAGATACAAATCAAAATTGTCTCATCAAAATAAGGAGATCTATGCATGAGGTTTTGTTAGGAACTTTTAGTCAGACGTTTATTGAGGTACTATAAAGAAATGAAATTGGATGACCCATGTTTTTCATTATAAACCGGTCGAATTAGGAAATGTCAACCGTTTCCGATAGTTTCTGCTAGTGGTTGGAACAATCGTTCCTCAAAGTCCTGTCATGCCAAGCAGATCGATTGAAAAACGGCAAAACTAAAAGCAGTAAACCCAAGGTCCAAGGGCGGAGTCGTACTTTTGACTGTACAGAGGTGTGACAACAGTAAGGTGTTTCCGTCAGACAAACAATATAACAACGATGCTGCCTTCCCACAAGGAAGGGTGGGGTTAGGAAAGGTTGACCCGAAAAGTGCACACCTCGCCTTATCCTATGGATATCCGTTTCCGGCGGTAAGGTCTCAACAGGTACGGAGGTAACATAAAAATTGCCTAAATAATGGTCGTGTGCGACCGATCTCAAGCAGTTTTCCCTTAGACACTGCGGTCACGCCTTCAGGTCACTAAGACTATAAACCATTTACCCTTCCAGGTACCTCTAGAAGAACCCTCACACAGTGTGGGAAACCGGAAAGTGATAACCGCCCTCATACCTCTAACATCACTAAAGATTACCACATTCTATGCGAATCGTTGGATTTTAACATTATTTTATCAACGTAATTAGCTAGTTGACGAATGTGAATATTTTAGTGCTAATTCAAAGGTGTCAACTTAAGGATATAACAGTTGTCCAGTGCTTTCTAGATTCCAACAGCATTCCGGAAGACATCGATTTGTAATAGATATCTATTATTATTAAATTTACATACAACAGTCTACAACAGTTGTTTTGAAATGTTCATTAAGAAAGACCTGACATACATATCATTGATCACCAACTAGTGATGAATCAATCGTACATACATCTTAGTCCTACAGAAGGTTGGTCGTGGCCCGGATCGCTCAATGATAACATCTCTGACTATGAAGCTGTATGATATGAAATCGAATCTGTCAAGGAGCATCAGTTCCATCAAGTTTACAGGTACACATCACTCAGGATTTCCTGTTGACAACCTCTAATCACCATCTTATCTCAACATAGTACACTCAATGTCAAGTCACCTAGACTAGTGACCAAATCGCAAATGGATCGGTAACATTGATAATATTGATTAATACAATCATTGACTCTTGGTCCTAAA